CATCGATCGGGTTGCCTGCCATATGAGCCCTGACCGGGAATGGAACTTGCAACCTTTTGGTATATAGGACAATGCTCCAACCCACTGAACCACACCAGCCAGGGCAAGGAAAGGTAAAAAGCCCCAAAAGAGGTGGGAAGAATTGGAGGAGAGATAGTAGCAGGCCAAGAAAATCCAGTAAATTTTTGAAAGATGGAAAATAGAAGAATAGCAGTTATATGATAGAAAATGAGAAGCTATATTGGAATACCCCTATAGGATGAAATGATTTGAGAAGGTAACAGATGGCCTATAAACCCAGAAAGGCTCAGAACTCAGAGGCCCAAGTGCTGAGTAACATACAAAGGGGTGAAATGAGAGCGAAAAATGAGGACAGGTTCTAAGTCATAGAGGCGGTCGGAGACCTCATGCGATTACCTTCCTGCAAGCAAGAGACTGTTCTCTGGGAAAACCAAACTTGATAAGCTCTGGCCTTGGGAACACCAGACACACTGGGCAAGTGATCAGGCTTGAGAATAAAAATGCTTGTCAGGTACAGATCTGCACACTTGCCTGAGACTTCCCTGCTCTGCTCCAGAAAGCAGGCAGGCAGGCTCAGGAGGACCCTGGGCGCCAGACACAACATCTTCTCTGGAGAAACTAAATAGCCGCCGTTCTCTTTTTCTGGACTCCAGCCTACCGACATGTTGGACTTACTAATTAAAAACACTTGGCAAGTTCATTGAAGTATAATTTACATGTAATAAAATGTCCCAATTTTAAGCATTATAGGTTGATTAGTTTTGGTCATTGTGTACACACTGTACAGTCATGTAACCACCCCCACAATCAGGACACGGAGCAGTTCCCTCATCTAAAACTTAGTTCATGCCTCTCCGTGGTCCATCCTGTCCCCTGACCACTGGTCCCAGCCAAACACTGATCTGTGTTCTATAACTGTGGTTTTGCCTTTTGCAGAATTTCCTACAAATGAAGTCATTCAGTGTGTTGTCTTTTTTAACCAGCTTTTTTCCCCATAATTGAGATTTTATTGTTTGTTTTGAGGATCAGTACAGAGACATTTCAATTTGTACACAATTCTTAACATACGTACCAAAAATGTAGTCATGTAGTTGTGATTCTTTTCTAAAAAGATATTCCAGTGACTTTCCAGCTTAAAATTTGGAGGCTAATTTTCCTTAATAGAATATTAAGTAATAATATCTTCAAAGGTTGATACACTGTTACATCAAAGTCCCACTCACTCACAATTTAATATCATATGCTCCAACATAATCAAATTTTCAATCTTTCACAACACATTAACAAAGGTACTAGGAAAGCTGGACTACCATACCAGAGATGTTACAGATGCACACAATTCTGACAGGGAGAGCCAAGATCAGCAGTGGTTTTCTTTAGGAAACAATGCTACCAAAAACATGGGAATGGAAGTAATTGAAAATGTTCAAGACATAGCAAATGCACAACTGACTCCAAATTGCCATTTAGTTTGCTTTGTATTAGAGGATATAAAAACTACCCTCATCTATGGAATGTTAAGCTGACTGACACCCAAGACAATCAAAGCCTCCCATATTCAATATCCCACTCTTTGCTGGTTGTACCAAAAAATAAACAACCAGCAAATGGTTTCACCTCTTAAAAAAAAAAAGCGTTTACACTAAAAAAAATGGGATGAGGTAGAATTCCCTCCTTCTTAAAAATGTTTCTAGAGTTACTAAAAAACTTGCATTTACAAAATAGTTGATAAAACTATTCCTCTGGATTGTACAAGAAGGGAGACAGGGACCACGGATAAGACATGGTCTAAGATATTGCAGACTTGGCTTCTTCCTCTCCTGCTTCATCTGAGGCTGGACTCTCCTGGATTTTAATTTCTCCATTTTCCACAGGTAGATCTTCTTTAGGTTCCTGGTCAGCCACTTCGGCCTGCTTTCCCTTTGCTCCCCTTTTCCCTTTTGCTTGCACTTTTTTGTCTGCAGATTTATTTTTTTTGCCACCTTTTTTGGCTTTGTTTCCACTTTTGCAGGAACAGGTTTGGCTGACAATCTTGCCGACTTCCTCTTGGGCTCCTCCTTGGCAGAGCAGACCTTTCTCTTGGGTATCCTGGCGGTGGGGTGGCGTGTGCTGGGTGCCTGAGGGCCACGTGCGCCTAGTGGCTTCTCAAACCTGGGCTGCCTGGCTGCTGCTACTTCTTTCGCCGCCCAAGCTACTTGGACCCGTGATGGGGGCAGTGGGAGCTTTGCCTGGCTTTTTTTACAACCAAAATGACTTTAAGATTCACCATGTTTTTGTGTATATTATTATTTCACTCCGTTTGCTTGCTGAGTAGTATTCCTTTGTGTGAATACACCTGAATTTGTTCATCTGCTCACCAACTGAGGGGCAAGCTACCCTTTCCTAGTCACACCCATTCCCTTCCTTTCATTCTCTCTAAGCCCTGGAAACCATTTATTCTCTAGCTCCATATTCTTGTCATTTTGAAAATGTTATATAGAAATGGAATCATATAGTGTGTGACCATTTGAGATGGCTTTTTTCCCTTTCTCTTAACACAATGCTCTTGGAGATCCATTCAAGTTGCTGCATGTATCAACAGGTCATTCCATCTTTATTGTTGAGGTGTATACCATGGTATGGATGTAACAGTTTGCTTAGCCATTCACCTATTGCAGGACACTTTGTCCCCTTCCTGCCTCCAGTTTTTGGCTATTATAAATAAAACTTGTATAAACAAAACTTTTGTATTTGAGGTGAGTTTCTTATAAGTAGCATATAGTTAGGTCATAATATATTTAGACCATTTCCATTTAATTATTGCTACGTTAGGGCTTAAATCTGTCATTTTACTTTGTTTTCAGTCTGTTCTTTTTTTTTCTTTTTTTTAAAGATTTTGTAACGTATTTTTATTATTTTTTAACCTGGTTACAAGTATAATACATCATGATACAAAAATCTTTGTTTTCTTTTTCCTGACTTCTGTGGATCACCTGAATACTTCTTAAAATTCCATTTCGATTTATCTATAGTATTTCGGGTGTACAGCTTAGTGGTTAGACAGTCATATACTTTACATATTTTCCCACCAATATTTCCAGTACCCAGCTTTATATAGCTTTCTTAGTGGTTGTTCCAGGTATTACAGTCTATATCTTACCACACTTCACTGGCATTTTACTGCTTTCAGTGAAGTGTAGAAACCTTACTTTCCTTTATGTTCTCCCATTTAAAATATAATGGTCTTGCCCTGGCCGGTGTGGTTCAATTGCTTGGATATTATCCTGTACACCAACAGGTGGTAGGTTTGGATTCCTGGTCTGGGCACATACCTAGATTGCGGGTTTTCCCCAGTGGGAATGCATGCAGGAGGCAACCAATCAGTTTTTCTTTCGCACATCAATGTTTTTCTCTCTCTCTCTCTCTCTTCCTCTCTCTAAAACAAAAAACAAAAAACAATTGTCTTAACTATTTCTTCCAGGTATATTGAGAATCACATCAACCATCAAACAATTTAGAAAACTCAAGAGAAGAAATGTCTACTGTATTTACCCATATTTTCCTTTCTGCTATCCCAAGATTCCTTCTCTTATCATTTATTTTCTTTTTAAATATATTTTTATTGATTTCAGAGAGGGAGTGGGAGAGAGAGATAGAAACATCAATGATGACAAGGAATCATTGATTGGCTGCCTCCTGCATGTCCCACACTGGGATCAAGCCTGCAACCCAGGCATGTGTCCCAACCGGGAATCCAACCGAGACCTCCTGGTTCATAGGTCGACACTCAACCACTGAGCCACGCTGGGCGGGCCTATCATTTATTTTCTGTTTGAAAAATTTTCTTTAGCCATTTAGAAATCTATAATGCATTTCAAATAAATTTTCGTGAATGATGTAAAGGTCATAGAGATATCCAGTTATTCCAAAAGATAGAAAGCCACTGCTAATGGGTATAGAGCTTCTTTTTGGGGTGATAACATGTTCTAAAATTGATTGTGGTCATCATACAAGTCTGAATAAAATACTAAAAACTTTTAAATTATATACTTTAAATAAAATTTAAATATTACACAGTGAATCAAAAAGCTGATCAAGTAATTAATAGAATAAAAAGCCAAAAACATAACTGTACACCCAATTGGTCTCTTCAGAAGAACTGGTTCTAATTATTATTCCTGAAAACATTCCCACCTTTCCTTCTAATACATGGCTGAAACCAATGTATTTCAAAGAGGCTCACTGTTCTGACATTGATATGCCAGAGCCCATTCATTGCTGTGGTGCAGATGAAGCAAAGCTGGAAATGTTAACCCTGTTTCCCTTGGCCAATTTAGCACTGGTGCCAATGCAAACCCAGTGCCATCTGATTCTCAAGCCCAATCCTGACCAAGGCCCCATTAGCAGTTTTATCTAATGTGCCTGAGATGAAGGTAGGAAGGAGTCTACAGCATTCACATCTCCCCAACCCTGGTTCCCACTGGATTTTACTGGATTATATACCTGGTTTCTGTCTGGTCTCCTGATTAGCCCTGAGTAGGCCACCTAGTAGAACCGAGTCAGTGTTCTCAACCTCTTAGGCTGGCTTGGCTGGGCCCTGATTCTTTCTCTAGGGGTTAGGCTGAACTTCTTATATTCCCAGGCACAAGCTCAAGTCCTCCCAAACTGGGAAGACTACAGGCTGGATTTCAGGCCCTACCATTACCTACTCTAGGTCAAACCTTCTTGGAGAACAGGCCCACGTTAGCTTCTCTTCTTGGGAGACGGTAATTTAGAGTCTGGCCACTTCACATGGGGGATCCAGCCAATAGGCAGCTCAGCTGTCTTAGTTTCAGAAACCAACTAGTTTTCTCCTCCATTCCCAGGAATCCACTGCTGAGACCTCAGGAAGTCTTTGGGCTGACTCCATCACTTATGGCAAGAAGGCACCTGGCACAGCTCTGCAAATGCTAGTTCTTTTCTTCCCTCATATCGAGTCAACTGAAGCATGCTCTACTTACCTGGTGCACACAGTCTAAGAATTGCAGGAAGACTGGGGTAAAACCACTACCCTGACAGTTGAGGGTCAAGCTGCTCCGCTGACTGAATTTATGACCAAAAGAGAGCCACTCTTTTTCAACCAACATCCGGAAGCCTTCAAGTGTCCTATAAAAGGGATCACTGAGTAACTGCACCAGGGATGTCACCTAAGGCACAAGCAGATGGACACTTATTATTTTCAGTCCTGAAAAAATCCTCTTGCTAAGACAAAGTACTTCCTTTTGATGATAGCTAACTCACCAACAAAGTTACCTGGGCAGCAAACTTGTTCACTAACTGCTCCAGGACAGCCAATTAAATTAATCCCACAAACTTTCTAGTAAAAATTAAAAGTCAAATTCATTTTGTCTACATGTTTTCTTTCAGGGAATCCAGATTTTAATCCTTACCTGGCTAGTTTGCCGACTGTGACTTTCTTCTAGGTTAATTAATGAGGCCAGAGGATCAGTTCAAACCTACTTTTTGGCAGGCGTAGATTAATGTCTTACTATAGTTCACATTCAGACCTTTCCTTTTCACTCTGGAGTAAGTAAGGGAGGAGCTTAGAGGGAACCAGGCAAAGGACTGACAAAACCTGGGAAGGACAGCCCATGTCCCACACTGCAGGCCAAGGAGCGCCATGCGCAGCCTGCCTGGTGCACCCGTGGTGTGGCACCCGATGCCCGAGCCAGAGCTGCAGGCTATGTAAGGCCTGGAAGCCCACAGCACAGAGCTTTCTGATGGACACCAGGGGGTGTTTAACACAGGACTTTTTTTTGTTGATACAAATTAGTCACTAATCAAAAGGTTCACCTGCAGAATTTAAAAACTAATTGAAATACAAATTCGTACATATACAACCAAATATATGAGAATATGTGTAAGAGTTTACTTGTGCTGTGATGTCCCAGCCTTCTTCCAAACAGACCAACACGGAGGAACCATTCTCCAGGACCTCGGACACCACCACGGCCAGCTGCATGATCCTGTGAAGCTGAGATGGGGAAGGAGCCACGATTAGAGCCAGGGCTTTCTGAGCACCCAGAACAGACAGACTTGCTGTCAGCCTTAGATAACCAAACAAGTTGGGGATAAAGTACTTGACCTAAACGTGAGTTTTAAACACTTAAAAGTTCTTTGTCAAAATAAAGATTAAGCAATGTGTTCAAGGGATACATGATGAGATAAATTGATCTTAAATGATTTCCCCTGATGTAGAATATCTATAATTCCATAGAGTGGACAAGTCAGAGATTCTAAGTAGCCCCCCCCCCCCCCCCGACAGAGTTATTGGACTTAACATTTGTTTTCTATGATGACGTAGTAAGTTCTATGATGATGTAGTAAGTTCTATTTTGGATACTCTTAATTTTTCTGGAATTAGATAGTGGGGATGTTTGCACAACTTAGTTATTATACTAAAAATCACTGAATTATATACTTTAAAAGGATGAATTTTATGATGAGTTATATCTTTAAAAAGGACACTCTTAGTTGTCTGTATGGGAAGAAAACTTATACTTGTGCTTAGCTTTTAAAGCCAAGCCACTGACTCACAGTCTCCAATGAACCATTAGGTTGTGAGCACAGCATATAGATTTCAAAGTCAAACGTGCAATGCATCACTTGACATAATTTGCAGAATGAATTCAATTTTGAACTGAAATAGAAAACCCCGTGTTTTAAACAGAGCTAGCTATTTTATTTATTTACTAGAGGCCTGGTGCACGAAATTCGTGCGAGGGGCTTGGCCCTCGTAGCCCTAGCTTTGTCCAGAAGGTCACCTGGAAGGACGTCCAGAAGGTTGTTCGGCTGTCCGGTCTAATTAGCATATTATGCTTTTATTATAGATTTTTATTATTTTTATTTTTTTTGAGCTAGCTATTTTAAACACAGGAACAAGGCACATGTCCTCTCCAGCACTGGGAAGCTCCTCACCCACTGTTCCTGTAGACAGCTATTTCCAGGCCTGAATTCTCTTGCACTTAGCACTTGCTCTGAGTTAACTTTTAAAATGCCAATATCTCAAGTAGAGTAATGCTTTCTACTGTTTTTTGGGGGGCACTAACTTCTGGTATGGATCTACTTTGGAGTAAGGAGCAAAACACAGAATGTACCAGAAACACAGATAGGCTGGTGGTGGGAACAGTTTGGGCTGGGGCTCATAACTTAGGGACAGAAGAGAGTATTGATCAGCTCCTTTTGTGTGTTCTCAAAGGATCCAGAAGGAATAGCCTTAATAGTAACATACACTGATATAGACTTATGTATTATGTTTTTATTTAAAATTTTTACGGGGAGAGAGAGAGAGAGAGAGAAGGATCGATGCATTCATTGGTTGTTTCTTTTATGTGCCCTGACTGGGAATCGAACCCGCAACCTTGGCGTATTGGGACAAAGCTCTAACCAACTGAGCTACCCAGCCAGGGCTGATACCCTGATACAGGTTTACAACTAATTGTACTATACGTGGCTTTTTTTTTTTATAGTTTAAGTACCTTAAAAATAGTTACTGCACTGGGTACTCACATCATTTTTTGGCTTTTTTTTTTTTTTTTGCCTTTTAGTCCGATACACTGTGGGAAACAACTATTTTTCCTCCTCAAGGGAGGCAGGAGGCTTGGAGGCAGAGGGGCCAGGTGATAGAGGGGCTGGAACTCATGCGGGGGAAGGAGCAATGGCCACAGCATCAGGAGCCTAAAGACAAGGCTGAGGCTGTAGTGCAGACATGTTCTTGGCCCAATGTCTGCGTCAGTGTCTAAAACATGCGTGTCATAAATGCCTATGTGTGCTGGTTACCTACTTCTCCCCAATTTTGCAATAAGAGTTCAATTAAAACATCCCAAGCTTGACTCAGCTGAAGGAAGGATATGTGGTTTTCCCTTAACCTTAGGGAAGCCTCAGGGCACCCAAAGTGCCTGTGGTGGCTGTTTTGGGGGTTAATCTAAAATCTAGAGACATGGACCAGGCAGAGACAAATGCAAGGTCAGACGGTAAGAGAGAAGGCCCTTGGAGTCCTGGACCCTCACTCTGTTGACAACAGAGCAGGAGGCCTAAAAATATATGCTGATTAAATTTATTGTATATAAAAAAGTGTCCACCTAAAAATAATGACCTTGCCTTAGCACGCTATGGAGACCAAGTTTTCAATTACAGAGAGAAAAACCTGGGATGGAGAAGTCTGCCTCTCATCTCCTGTAGCATACGGGTTCCTGGAACCGAACGGCTTTTATGGAGGTACGCAGTAAAGGCAGACGGCGGGGCGTGGGGGAACACAGTATTTTCCTCAAATGCCATCTCTGTACATCCTTGAGGTCAAAGGCAAGTCGCTCCAGACATTACCTGTGGAAACCACTCGGAGTCTCCCAGAGCCTTCAGGAAGGTCACGTCTGAGTCCGTAGGAATGGTGCTTGGGACACAGGCCCTCATCAACTTTTTAAAACTGGCTTTCACTTGTCGGATGTCATGAAATTCAACGGGAACAAACTCACAATTTAAAGCAAATTCTAACTTAAAGTTCTGTGGATAAAGATGCAGAGAATTAGGCAGATGAAGTGTCATGGTAAGAGAGCAGTGCTTTCAACAGGGCAGTGCTTAAATGATATACAGCTATGGGGGCCAAGTAGCTGCAGAGGCTGCAATGGGTCCGGAAAACCAGTCTTGTGTGGCTAGGTGTCCAGATCGCTGGAAAGTCCTGCACTGAGGCCTACTGGTTTCCCTCAGCTGCTGTCATTCCGAGACCCTGAAGAGACTACTGGTCGGTGGGAACCTGATGGGCGCTTGTAACATCACATATCAGCCAATATAAAGCCATGGACCTGAAGTCTGGAGAGGACCAGTGATACATGGACAGCACGGTTAATACAAAACTGCAAATGAAGTCTCCCGAGATGCACACTGTGATGAAAAGGCAATATGCTGCTGAGGTTCCAGAACTCTACAATTCAAGTTTGTAGAGATACACATATTTGTTTCTTATTAAGCAAGTAAAACAGTCATTGGAAAAATGAAGAAAAAAAAAAGTGAAGATAAACATTGAGAAGAAAATAAAAATTACTATCTTACTGCCCTAACATGTAGGTACTCCTTTAAAGTCAAAATAAAAAATTCTAGCTTTGGGACAATATTTTTTCACGCATTAGGACACGTGCCAAGCTATATTTATTTGAATGTATTTATCATTTATACTTTTAATCCACGTGGAATTTATCCTATGTGAGGTTGCATTTGTAGTTAAAGAATGCTTACCTGATGGCACATTGTATATTTTATTTTGATAACCTAGTCACCTAATTTTGAAGATTTAAAAATTCTCTAACTTCTCTTGCTACACAATGAATTAATTTTCTTATATCCTTCCCACTTTCCTCACATTCTGCCCAAATGACACTACTGGGTCATCTGCTTTCCTAAGAGTAAAACTGCTTTCTGGAGGCTGGTTGTACAACAATGTGAATGTATTTGACACTATGGACTAAAGGAGGATAAATGTTATGTTATCTGTATTTACCAAAATTAAAAAAAAATGCTGCAAGGACTTATTATAGGGTCCATGTTATGTTTTGTATTGGTTATTTTAGAGTACTTTTAAAACAGCCTATTAAAGTTTTAAAGTAAAAAGCAAAAACTCCCAAATTAAAAAAAAATAGCATTTCTAATATGTATCAAGAAAAAAAGTTTCTTTATCTTAGTAATTCCACTTTTAGGAGTAATCTAAAATGTAGAGAAAGAACCCTATTGAATCATATCTCAATTAAAAATAATAAGCTATATGCTTGAAAATATGACTGTAATTTTATATATTGAAGATAAAGAAATGGAAACATTCAACAATATGGAATGTTACATAGTGATTAAAATGATTATAAAGAATATTACACAACATGGAAACATGCTATGGTTAGAATAAAGAACTTGGCTGTACGCATGGGTTCTTTTCTATTAGTTATTTTTTAAAAGTTATAATAGATAACAGATAGTTTACTTTTCAGGAACACTACTTTCCTTTCCATTCCCAACTACAAAGGAGCTAGGAATGCCTGTCTTATAAACCTGGAGTTATCAGCCATAGTGTTGAGACACTGTTAAGTCGTAAGGAACTTATTAGTAAGTATAAAGTATTAAAGTCTGTGAATTAGGAAATATGACCAATTCAAGATTATTCAGAGGAAGCCACTCTCACTTGCTTTCCTCGGTGTTTCCTTTGTTGGGAGGCAAGGAGTGGAGCTGCAGTTAGAGAGCACGGTGCTGGCCTGAACGTGGCTCAGGTCGGACAGGTATGGACAGTGGTCCATAGGCACAATTACATTACAACAAGCCAAACCTGAATGGGACGTACAAAAATCCCAATAACTGCTGTGCAAGGAGGGCGAGATTATGTTTTTAAAATGTAATTCTTTATTGATAAAAGAAAGATCAGAAAGAAAAAAGAAAGACAGAAAGAAGAAAATGAAGGAGGAAGGGAAATAGGGTCCCCAGTGGCCGGTTTTTCTTAGTCATATGTGCACAGCCACACAGCAAACCTGAGGACTGATGCGCAAAGGATATGGCAGAGATGAGCATTCAAGAGACAACCTTGGGGCGTGACTGCAATCATGAGTACGTGGTGTGCTCAAGTGCAGGGTGTGTACTCTGGGAGACACTAGTGCCAAGGGGGCTGTGCTGGCTGCAACCCTGGGTTGCTGTTGAAAGGTGTTCCAACTATTTTCTGGAGAGAAAGTATCTGCTGTGTCAGAAGACACGTGTGCATATTTAAACACGGAGCATTACCCAGCAGTTTCATGACTCCTACCCTAAAGGCTGGTAACTAAGTGGCTGCAGCAGCCTCGGCAGTGGGGGAAGAGCTTGCCACCGAAGGGATGACTCAGCCACTGGCATCTTGAGGACCCAGCATGTGGGATCCTGCCCACAGCTCCGTCCACAGTTCAACCAAAGGTCTGTCTGCACTGTCCCGTGCCAACTGAGGTGCTAGACTAAACTTCGGGGGATTTTCTGAATTAACAAATGCTTTTATTTCCCCCACACCTGTCAACAGCAATGAACTTTATTTTGTGCTGGGTAAATTGCAAAAACATTATCTGCTTTTGGAGATAGAGACTATCTTTATAATTTATAGGACCTGAGCATAGTGAAGCTCTTTAGCATAATAATTAAAAAAATAAAGGGGAGCCCGGCTGGCGTGGCTCAGCGGTTGAGCATCAACCTATGAACCAGGAGGTCACAGTTGATTCCCAGTCAGGGTACATGCCTGGGTTGCGGGCTTGATTCCCAGTGTAGGGTGAGCAAGAGGCAGCCGATCGATGATTCTCTCTCATTATTGATGTTTCTATCTCTCTCTCCCTCTCCCTTCCTTTCTGAAATAAAAAAAATATATTTCAAAAAATAAAGGGGCTTAGCATCCAATAGTTTGAATGTTCTGACATATCTCAGGACACGTGCCTCTGCCTATACAGCCTGTGAAGCTTCAAAAAAGGCAACTTAGAGAACACAGCCTGGCCTTCCCTCGCTCCAGTGCAGCGAGTGCCACCGTCTTCTTCCCACTCTTCTACCTCCTGGCAGCTTTCTTTGTCAATAGGTTTTCAATAGCAAATCCTTCTGTTTTGCCGTAGACACAGATTCCTGTGGAAGCTGAACTAAGACAGTGGAAAAACAGCCTGGGTAAGCCTTATTATTTCTTTTTTGTGGGTATACATTCCTAATATTCCTGATGTTTATGCTGATCTAGTTATGATTATGAAAAATACTTCTTTTCATAGCTAATAAACATGTAAAAGTATACATACTTATCTATCAAGGTACATGTAGACATACATACATATATAATGAGCTAAGTGTTTTTAATATTATTAACTCCAGGTTAAGAATCCATGCTGTAAAAAAAAAAAAATCCTAGGAAAGCTGATTTATGAGATAAGTTAAAACTGCCTCCAAATATCTATAAAGTTTCTAAGTGAGAAAAAGAAATCTTACCCTTAGTTGTGACTTTTCACCAAATATATAAAGGGCTGGTTGGCGTTTCAAGAGCTGGTTTTGCAGATAGGCGCTGTTACTATAGGAGGCCGAGTGATCCTTGCCTGCCAGCCGGGCGCCAACATCAATGAAGGACGTTGGAGAACTGATCAGGCGAGTGCTAGAGCGAAGACTTGCCCATACACCTTTACAAAAGCCAAAATAATCGAATGAGGTAATCTGATGTGGGAATGCCACTGAGCTGGAAAAAAGACGCATGCTCTGTAGGTATCGTTTTAGAGGTAACAGCAAGGTAATTAATCTAGGACCTAGATTCTAGGTAATCATGGATCATACTGGTCATTTGTCATTTACCTTTACAACGTATAAGCACTATTCAATACAGCATCAAGATTAGGCGTGGAAGGACTAAGCAGTCAGCCACGTCAATCCTATGACTGTATTTTGATGTAAAGTTAGTGTTTATGAGTAAACACTGGGATCATAAATAGGAAGAGCGCACTGGCACTGGGCAACAAAAATGCAGGCGGGGCAACGAGGAAGCCTGGGCAGGAGAATGTGACTCCATTTCTCTGGGCTTCATGAAATAAGAACATGCTTCTGCTTCAGTCAATCAATTCAACAAGAAATCTAGATTAAGAATGACATTAGAACTTTACTAAACCTACTAAAATCTCAGGCTGGATTTGGAATATGTGTGCATCATGCCAAAATGATGCAATTTAAAGTTAGTAAAGATTATATTACACTCTTTCCCCCAGTACACTTAGTAATGTACATTGCACTGAATCTTAGGAGGATTTATGTAAAATTTATAGTCAGAGGCAGATGTCTTCTAAGGGAAAGGCCAAGCTGAGCTGCTAGAGGAATCTCATAAGTGACCTTAGTTACATTCATTAGAAAAATCAAGGATTCCTATATGCAACTAGACTGTTGGATATTAAATATCCAAACCCCAAAGCACACGCTAAGTCTGACATGTGACTGGCAATGCAGCACCTTTACAACGTAGCCCCTTATAAGTCCTATAAACTGTGGGGTTCACCTGGGGGATGTGTCGCGGTATAAGATACCGCAGCTGCTTCCCCTGCGTGGGCTTCCTCTCCAGGTTTGGAAAGGCTCTTTGAGAGGCTTTCCTCTTTGCCAAATGTTAAATCAAGCCTCATTTCTTGCCCAGAAGTCACTGCGATAATGTCACACTGGCTCCTCTCTTTATGAGCGATTATAGGGTCAGGAGACCAGTTCCTAAGAAAAGGTTTTATAAGTGATTTCTGCTTAACGTAGATGAATCTTTCTATGTAACCCCTAAACTTGTCTTAGATATTATGGCAAGCTTTTGTAAATGAAATCACAGAGGAAATTCAGAATGGGGGTGAGAGTAAAAGATAATTTGACAGACAAATGTGATAAACATCACCGGTAACACACATTTTCATATGAAGGTGGTTAAAAAGAATGACACATCAGGACCGATAATACAGTACCTTGGTTATGGACTCTTCCCTTAGCTGAAGATTTGGGATTTGACTGAGTAAAACATGTATCTCTGTGCCCATGCACTAGGAGGTGAGGATAAAGGCAGAAGGAGGATAAAATGCACAGAGCAGCAAACATCAGAGCAAATCGAGTAAGAGAAGAGTAGGTTATTTAATTTTTAAAATCAAGTTAACATAGAAGAAAAGATGCAAATATAATAAAAAGAGAAGATTTGATTAACAAATAAAAAGCTGCACAGTCACACAGAAACGATGAACTGAGCACCTGCTAAATGAAATGCCAGCACCTGTTTATAAACGTGAGCGCAGTGAAATGAACGCACAGCAGCGAGTGGCACGGACAATTATACCAAATGGAACCAGCTTTTGAAGACTGTCATCGGGTGACAATAATAAAGTCAAGGAATTTAGTGACTACATTGGCCCTAGTGTTTGCGGAGGCTGATTGACGGGAAGTGCTACGTGCTGTACAACACATCTGCTCTTTGAGCAAGGCCACCACATCAGGAATGAAGCTCTAGCAACCATTTGGAATAACTAAGAGCATGTTTTTGCAATAGAGCACTAAGCATTGCCACACTATCTTCTTTTTTCATCTGGAAATTACAGTTATTTTCCATAAACAAATAGTTATGAGTAGCAAAAAATCATGATCCTGTGACAATACCTAATGCCACTAAGAATATAGCTTGTGATGATTGAGGTAATGACTTCTTCTGAAATCCCTACTTACACCAAAATGATAGGCAGTATTAGAGATAATACTTTTGTAATTTGAGTAATATTGTGGGTTTGTTTTTTTTTCGACAGAAAGTACTTTGCAACTATGGCAAATTTTTACCTGGTAATAACAAAAATAGTGAGCAGTAAGTTACAGTGTATCCTGAGCAAAGGAACTGCTCAAATAAAGTAAGGAAAATGCTTCTGCATTCATTCAGGATTGAAAACGTTCACAGCAGTATTGTTAAGCTATACATTGCAACACGGCATAAAGTATGACATCACTTAATAAAAAAATCATTAGAAGTAATTTTCATTGCTGCCTTGTTCCTTTAGAAGAAGGAAAGGAAAGGCACTGATGGCTTCAGTGGCTAAAGGAGGTGAGAGAGCTGAGGCTGCAGAGGTGCGGGCTGACTGCACAGAGGGGAATGCTGCTGTGAGGCAGAATGGAGACCGGGACGCGGGCTGGACACCAGGTCTCCCGTGTGCTGGCGGCCTCTCCTTTCTGTGGAGGTTTGAGCTTTCCTACTGAGCATGGGACTTAAAGGCTTACAATGAAGTTTGAGTTCTTGGTTCCTGATTCTGAAATACTGTTCCCTAAACTTACCACGCTTTCTTATGCTGGTGCCTCGACCTGGAACGATTTCTCCCATTTTTCCACCTGACAAACTCTTTATGCCTTAAGCTCCAGAAATGAGAACTTTTCTGAAAACCATTCCAGACTATCCCAGAGCTGTGGAGAGCTCTATTGAAACTCTGATCACACTTCATTGGAGTTACGTGCACATTTGATCCTACTGGATTGTGTGCGCCAAAGGGCAGGGACCTAACCACATTTATTCTCCTATCCCTATGTATATGTAACATCTGATTATTTTCTTTTGAAAATTGATACACTGTGAACTGCTGTGGTCTTCTATATCTTCAACTCAATTATTTGCTTTGAAAGAATAAAAAGGCGGTGTTAAATAAATAAAAAAATTAAGCACTTTCCCCAAATAGAGGCTCATTAATGAAAAACTGCCAAGTATTTATCACGTAGCAGAAAAATCAGCAACGAGAAAATGGCCTGCAATACGGGACCAGCAGAGGCTCTGAGAACTGTAATCCCACCTGGCAGTGGTGACCGAAGGGTGATGCTACTGCACTGGTGGTGAGGTCTACTCAGCTTCCTGAGTGACTCCTGCGTGGGAAATACTTGTAACACCAGCCGGCAGCTGTATTTTTTTCCAAACTGCAGCATCCCCCTTAATGGCCTGTGAAATCACTTTAGTATATATATTTAAAAAGTGAAATAGATTAAAACTGAAAATACTATGTGCACTGCATGTGGTATAGATGAACACTGTTTCATGAAACTTCTGTTTTGGTATACATACATTTTGCATTGTGACTCAGCCCTGAATTGTGATATAAAGTGAATATGCATATCTATAACAATAAAAGCATAATATGCTAATTAGACCTGACGTCCTTCTGGACGAAGCTGGGGCTGCAAGGGAAGCCTGGGTCCCGGGTGCCAGAGGGAAGCCGGTGCCGGCAGCCGGGGGAAGGAAGGCCTACTCTTGCACAAATTTCGTGCATCCATCGGGCCTCTAGTATATATATAAGTAGAAAATGTATTTCTTACTGTGAGTCATGATAAAAAATGTTTGAAAGCTACTGGAAGATACTGAGCTTTTGCATCAGTATCTGGCTTAGGGCAACTGAAATGCAAATGTAGGCTTTTCTCCCATGCCAGTGGAGTATTAGGCAACAATAATGATAATAACCACAACAATGATAATAGAACTAACATTTATTGAGCTCTTATTATGAGCCAGTTACTAGGTTAAGTGCTTTACATAAATTATTTCATTTATTCCTTGTAAATACTCTAAAGCAAGATACTATTTATCATCTCCATTTTACAGATGAAAAAAATAGAGAATTAAGAGGTTTCCTAATTTGCTCAATATCATACACTAATTGGTAGGGCTGCAGTTTGAATTTGAATGTAACTGAACTAAACTCCTTGTGTCTTGTCACCTAGGCAACGCTGTGAGCCTGGATCTGTCCTCAGGGTCTGGCTAAGGGATTGCTTCAGGGAAAAAGTGATGTAGTTTATCCCTCATGGGAATGGATTGTTGTTCAGAGCATGAGTGTTTCCTAAGCACTAGGGTTGATCTCTCTATTCTGTTTAGACAAAACAAAGAAGAGAAGGAAAAGAGATGGTTGGGTTGGATGTGGGGATGAGGTCCTGTACTTATTAATGCGTGAGATACAAGCTAGTCAGTGAACGCTGCACTGAAATGGCCTGAACCAAGCCTGGTCCCAGTTATGCTGCTATTTGCTAAGTGACCTTGACACTTCCTATCTCAGAGCCTCTTAAAATATACACTGAGTGGCCAGATTTTTATGACTGGCCAGATTATTATGACCACCCCATCAGTATAATGAAGTGAATTAGTTATGCAAATAATAATAATAATAATAATAATAAAACCTTGAAAGTATTTGCTTAGGAAGTTTTCAATATTCAGTATTTTTGGAAGTGTCAATGAAGTACTGATGGGGTGGTCATAATAATCTGGCCGGTCATAATAATCTGGCCACTCAGTGTATATTCTGCAGGTTATTTCAAGGATAAAATAACATTTGTAGAGGAACTTATAGGGTCATGGAAATGTAAAGAATGAACAATTAAAAACAGCCTCCAGCTCCTGGCCTGGTAGCTCAGTTGGTCGGAGCATTGTCCCGTACACCAAAGGGTCGTAGGTGTGATCCTCGGTCAGGACACGTACAAGGCAACCGATGGATGTTTCTCTCTCTCAGTGATGTTTCTCTCTCTCTGTCTTTCTCTCTTTTCCTCTCTCTCTAAAAATCAATAAGCATATCCTTGCACAAGGATTAAAAACAAAAAGCTGCCTCCATGTGGCTACTTCTCAATATACTTAACTATTGTATTTTTGTATTTAAGAGGCAGTAACAATTTTCTCATGGCATTTTTCTACTCAACAAAGTAATTTGTCCAAGTTGTGAGTTTATGCATTTTTCCTCCATGGGGCTCAAAAGCTATTTTAATTACAAATGAAAAGCAATGTGATCTAGTCACATCCTCATTTTTCTTAATGATTCTTGTGTAAAGAGGGCTGCTTCCCCTGCCTTACCAGATCATCAGCGTGCACACTGAATGCAAAGTGATTACTGACAGAAAAAAGGGTGAAGGAGACAGTGGAGGTCAATCTCATCTGTGCAGAGCAGAAAGGCACACAGTGGAAATAACATAAGAAGGAACCAGGAACTAAGTCTATGACAGTGAAAGGAATGAAAACAACAACAACAACAACACATCACACAGTGAAAATACACAGGAGAGGAGAAAGGAGAAGGTTTGAGGATGATTTTATAGATAGGAGGCTCTTCCCACGCAGGGTAAATGAGAAACTTCTGGAGCAGGGTACTGCTCTCTCTGGGAGACGGAAGAGATTCTGTCCCTGACGGAGGTCCAAGGAAATGAACCATGAGCAGGGCATGCAGGTGTCTACGCCTAGTCTTGCCCTGAGTGTGTATCTGCCTGCCATGTTCATAATAAGGAATCTTCTGGGACTTCCCAAACTTGCTTGCCCCAGTCTATTCCTGCTACTCTCTGTGAGGAGAAGGACACTATCAGAAGAGACAGAAGAAGCAGATCTAGGGATCAAAGATGTTGAAAGTATCTCATCTTCCAATGAATCACTGGGATCCTGGAAATCTGGGAGGCGTTGGGAGTAAAATTATTTAGGAAGGCTGTCAAAATAATAATTAGGGCCTAGAATACATAGAATGAATCAGAAACAAATTCAATAGGAGATTTTAACTCTAAAAGGTAAATACAGCCTTTCAGGTACTCTTGAGAAGAACAAAGAAGGGAGTCATAATGAGAATGTAACCACTAGTGGGGATCCCTTGGTATAAAACAGCCAGAATCTGAGGCCAATATAAAAAAAAATAAAGGAGATAATGCAGTTGAAACAGACTGATGAATATCCATGAGCCTTAGGTACCAACATAGGGGGAGAGACAATTTTGTAGCTAAAATGTATATTGCAGGTCACTTGGTCCAGCTGGGGAACAGATAATGTGTTCCTGATGAAGTTTACAAAAACAAAACACAAGAGCCAGGCATGGGGCTCCAGCTAACAGACATGTGCTGGAAACGGAACTCTGTTGAATGGAAAAACTGCTGACAAGCCTTGCTGACAATATAAACTTTCAGATAGTGAATTTTAAAATAGTAAGAGGAATAGCAACCTTGAACCAAATCTGACAGGAGAGCTTGGCAACAGAAATACCAGGAACTTTAGGAGAAAGGCACTGTACTTTTAGTTCAATTTTACCAAGAAAGAAATGATGAGAGAATGAAGTCTGTATCTTAAACTTTAAAACAATAGTAATTTTAAAATTTAGAAAAAAGCTATATATGACTCTATGGGTTGATCTGTGTCCCTTCCAAATTCGTATATTGTAGTCCTAACCCCCACTACTTCAGAACTCGACCTCATTTGGAAATATGACCTCACTGCAGATGTAATTAGTTAAGAGGAGACCAGACAGGAATGTGGTGGGCCCCTAATTCAATATGATGGGTGTCTCTCTAGAAAGAGGACATTTGGAGACAGACACGCAGGGAGACTATCACGTGAAGATGATGGCAGAGATTTGGTGGTGCTTCTACAGGCCAAGGGAGAGATGGCCAGCAAACAGCGGGAGCTGGGGAAAGGCCTGGCACAGATCATTCCTCACAGCCTCAGAGGGCACCAGCCTGACATCCTGATTCTGGATGTCTAGCCGCCAGGACTGTGAAGCAATAATGAAGTCACACAGTTTGTGGCCCTGTTTTATAGTAGCGCTAGCAAACTAACACAATGACCGTGAGGCCTAATTAGGAAGATGACTGAAGAAGGTTGAAAGCTCTTAGGACATCCTACAATAGCAGAAAGTGCTGATGAGGTTAAAAAAGAAAGAAGTATCCAAAGCACCCCTATGGCTGCCAGGAGATGTGCACAGTAATCTTGGTTTTCAAAAGGAAACAAGTAAATTTTATAAACTAGAGCCTTGATGTTGATTCCGAACCAAATTCTGGAATAGATTATTAATGAACTATTTCAGATTATTTAGAAAAAGCACTAATTCCTACAATGAGTCATGTTAAATTAACCATAAACTCTTTAGTGCTGCAGTTATCAGTTTGAAAGACTGGAAAATACTGGATTAAAAAGATGGGCAGAGATTTAGAAATATGGGCCAGGTGAGTTTTAGTAGGAGGACTCATAACCAGTATAGATGAGTGATCAACCCCTTTCTTCAGAGAGGCCTCTATATTATGTTGCTGAAGACTTCTGTCCTCATCTCTGGTTTGTTCAACATTTCTTTAAACAACAAATCACAAATCACATGAGAACAGTGATCAAATCTACTAATGACAAGAGGCTTGGAAAAATATCTAATACAGTAGTGGACAGAATTAAGATCCAAATGTCTAAAACAATAGTCCATTATCAAAAAAGATGAAATTTTGTAGGTTTAGTACACAGTCTATTTAGGTTCAAAAACTAACCCTCAAGACTAGTATATTTTAAGAACTATAGTTCATGTGAAGCAGACAAACAGATTTCAAATGATACTAATCTTCATATGGATCAGCCTAGTGATGGGGCTGTCCCTAATGTAATCTTAGGCTCCATGAGTTCAATTCTGTGGAGAATCCACAGGATGAAAAAGATAGTGAACTGGACTGGAACCATCTGAATTGGGGGTATTTAGAAGTAACTAAAAGATGAGAACAGTTTTAAATCTGAAGGGCTATAGTGTGGGAGATCTGATTTAGAATTTTCTAACCTTAGAGGGAAGAGTGAGGGTCATTATGTAAAAGTTACATGGTGGTAGCTTTTTAGATCAATATGAGAAGGAATTTTTAAGTTTTTTACAAATGCAAAGGACTACTTTTGGGAAGAATGAGTTTCCCGTTACTGATGATGTTCAAGCAGAACCACGATCACATACTTGGTATATTTTCAATGACTCAGCATTGCACGGGAGTGAGAGGAAGAGTCTAAGATTCTACTAATTCCATTGTGAAGTGGTACCTACTTACAATCAAGATACCTGGTCTGGAAATGCCTCTGAAAAGTAAAATAATCTAACATAAACCTCCAGAGAACAAAGTAGACCACCTTTTGGAGCTAAACAAGCCAATACTCAGCCTTTCTCTTCTTCCTCATGCCAGCAGCTATAGCCCAGAGAAAAAAAAGGTAACCTGAATATCATTCTCCCGTATTCCTCAAACTAACATTTCAGAGAACAGGAGTAAAAATCACAGGCATTGGAGGCATAGCCCTTGGGACTCAGATCACTTCTCCCAAGCTGGTTATGCTTCTGTGGTCAGTCTTTCTACCCTGCAAACCTGAAGCATCGTGGAGTCTTCCCAGGGCTGACCACCATTTAGACATGCTCCCCTCACCTCCCAATGCCTCCAGACTCATCAATAGGTAAGATTTCAGCAATTATTATACCTCTTGTCCCAGTACTAGAAATAAGTTTGATCATTCATTGAGAAAAGGGTAATTGCTAGAAATAAATTTGATCATTCATTGAGAAAAGTGTAATTAAAAACAATTTGAACCATAATTAGTTGATTTAAAGAAGCACTATCTAAAATTTTTTTTTTGCTTTTAAGATTGTATCAGTGCTCAGTTATAAAATCAGTCTTACTAACCTCCTCGAGCAAAGCTATTGGATGGGTTTACATCCAAATGTCCTGGCACTACCTGCTTAAGCACAGTGGACATTCTCGAAGTTCTCCTTTCAGTCCCTAAAGTCAGCCAAAAAGAAGAACAAAAACCATGTCGTTCGGGTTAACATTACTCAAATGACAAAAAGTTATCTTCATGTGTAGCATGTCTAATTGCTGCCAAACATTGTACTTTTTAAGTACCCAGAGCTTCAATAGAGATAACAGGGCACTGTTGCTATTTCCTCAGAGATACATACATTTGCAAGATTACAGGGAGTTAGGTTTGGCAAGTGCAATCAGAGAATTTAATGATAAATGAAGCAAGGCATGCATGGTGTTACTTTACAAGAAAAGCCACTTTCTGCTTATGTTGAGCTAATTCAAATAGCTGATTAAGCCAAGGAGACCAACTTTTCAAGTCACATGCTCCTGTGTCTAACACATTAGGGTTACCTCTACATGAACCCTTTGGGGTTCCATCACATGATAACTGAAACAAAATATTAGTACAAGTCTTAATGGCTTCATCCAAATCTAGTGAAAACAAATTGTATTGCAAATCATAAAAGGCTGCAGATATTTCAGGAATTTTAAACATGTTGATTTTAATAAATATACATTTAATAAAGAGATGTTCACTTTATAAACTTAACTTTGTAATAACATTTTAAAGTCTATGTAAAATAGATTCTAGGGGAAAAACACCCACATGACTTTATTTATGTTCTCCACCCCCTCTCTCATTACTCTTTTAAAAAGGAAATAATTGAATCTCTAAATGTGGTTACTATTCACTAGACATTAACAATGGTGCCCCGAGTTCTAAGTAAAAGGAGCTAAAGTTACAGCTCCACTAGATAAAACTTTAGGGGTCATATTGAATAAACAGTGCAAATAAGTAAGGGACTAATCCTCGGAATGAATCTGACATTTCAGAGCTGTCAAGAAGAAAAGAATGATCAAATCTTACCTGGAGGCAGAGCAAGTGCCGGCCTGACCGTGAGGGTGTTGTTGCCACGGAGTTTCTGATGGACAGAAACTGCACTCAGGATGGCTTGCAGGTACTTTTCTTGTTCTATGCTGTTGGAAGATTCTAAGGAGGAGGTAGGGGCTATAAAAGAAAAAGATACAGAATAAAACAACCTGTGTCTATGTTAATAAAAAAGGCACATATATATTTTTTCTTTTTAGTCTTCAAGCTACCACACCCAAATGCAGAAACCAGCCCCACTTAAAGCTCCAAACTATCAGATGCCTAATCCTCTTACATTGGTTTCACCACACCCATTTCTTGATTGCCTCCTCCTCCCAGAAAGAGCTTAGATCTGGAAAACCACACAGCGCTGTCTTGCCAAGAGCAGGTGCGGTTTCTCATTATCCAAGCAACTCAAAACGAAGATTCACGCAAGACAACATCTCCGTGATGGTCCACCAACCACCCTGTCCATGCTGTTTGGAAGTAGAGGGTGGAGGGGTTCCCCTGGCATCCCGGAATGGGCAGGTTAGAATATCCCAACACCAGTAGCTTTATTCCAACTTCGCTGCATGGGCTTAAGGGAACCTGAACTTGTAGGGTTGTTTGTGGAAGAGTGGAGGAAGTTGGGAGAAGACAGCAGCAGCTACTGCGAGATTCCTGTCCTACAAGATGGGCAAAAAGTAGGCACAGATGGAAACAACTATGAGAGCAATTCTAGGGGGAGGGAGTCTGGGCCTGGGGTGTGTGGAGTGAAACAGAAATCACTGAACTTGGCTCATACACTTTACAGAGCATCAGAGGGGCCTTACTAGAAGGACAATAGATATTAGCAAATTCTCTTGCAACCTGAATGGGAAATAATTAGAATTTTATCAATTTTGAGATGCCATTACTATATTTTATTACAAAATGCACCATTATTTTATGTACTCAGAATAAAAACTGTCATTTAAACTAGGACACAACTCTTTCTGATCACTTCCATTTTAAAATGCATCCCGATTTCAAAGATATTAAAATGTGAGCAAATGTGTAAGCTCAAAAATAAAAAATTTAGTAAATTAATATTAGATTAAAAAAATCAGAAACTAGTGGAATAAAATGGTTTCAGTTTCTTCCATTTAAAAGCTCAGTAATATGCTCATCAATGCTCCTGAAATGATTCGCTCATTTTATTTAACCTACATATACTGTGTTCTATTATACCCACTATATAGCTGGGGAGGATTCATCAGGGTGGAAACAAGTAAAAGCCAAATGCCTTCAAATATACCAGTGTTGCCAAGCCACGTAGAATTAATAAAATCCTATATAATAAAAGGCTAATATGCAAATTGACTGAAAGGCAGAATGACCAGTTGCTATGATGTGCACTGACCACCAGGGACCACACACTCAACGCAGGAGCTGCCGCTGGTGGTCAGTGCGCTCCCACGGGGGGATTGCCGCTCATCCAGAAGCCGGGCTCAGGCTGGCGAGCGCAGCGGTGGTGGTGGGAGCCTCTCCTGTCTCCGCAGAAGCACTAAGGAGCAGCAAGCAGGTGGGCAGTTAGGAGCGAGGGAACCCTGACTGTGAGAGGGATGTCTGACTGCCAGCTTAGGCCCGAATTTCGTGTACCAAGCCCCTAGACTATTATAAGCTGGAAGTTATGAGAAAGGTCAGCAACGATAGCTCCTGACTGCCTTCAAGGTTTCAGATTTGGTGCTCAGAAATATCCCTATAAAGAGAGACAGTAGCACTTATTACTTCTGTTTTCTTAAGTTGGCCATCTTTTAGCTTCCTAAAACCCCCTATTCTTGAGAACTCCTAAGCAGCATTTTGGTCACTGGTTTGCTGACTTGTTTTTGTGTGTATGTGTGACTTGTGGGATTGAGATAGGGTATCTCATACCACATGGGCCAGGATCCCTACCTGCCTCTGAAGCTGCTAAATATATTTGAATACTTCCCAGAAGGAAAAAAAAGAATAGCATAATCTAGTTCCCAACTGTGGATATTCTTATCTGCTGAAATGAAAGTAGCCTAGAACCAAAGACTTTATTATGTTAATTTCTATTAAGAACCAAATATAGATAGGCATATCAAGACCCCAAATTCCAGGTGGAGCCCCACATGTCAAGTATAGATCTTGTTTAAGTTGTTCATGTTGTATATAGCACAGTGGGAAAGTCTATGTGTGAGAGGCATGGTGACAGGGAACAGTTGGCATTTCCAGATTTTACTCCTTTTATTTTTAGGAATGCTCTGAAGTGAAGGGATCAAAATTGTGCTGTGGAGATGCTTACCTGCCTGAGGGGAGTTCTGAGATTTGAAAAGACCAACTACTCCCTTCCCATGGAATCCTCCAGCTCGGAGGAGCAGAGTACCGCTTCTTGAGTTCTTCCAACATACGACAGGCAGGCGATTGTGTCGGTAGCAGCGGGCTACTCTTGGTAAACTACTGTCCTGTACAGCTTGAGGTACAACTAAAAGGCCAGGGTAGCTTCAGGGACAAGAAGGGAGAAAGAGAATGGTTTGGGTGGGTGAGGGTGGAGGGTGGGGGGAAAAGAAGGGAAACAAAATGGGGAGGGAGGAAGGGGAGAGAGAGAGAATATAAGAATATGAATATCATAATGCCATAGTCATTTTCTAAGACTCAGAAACACTGGTTGAGGGTAAGACATATTTCAAACATGGAACTCAGTTTCAACTCAGTTCTTCAGGGGTTAAGCAGAAAAGGCCTCCATGTTGGAAACAGCTATCTCATCCACTAATCTGTAGTTTCTTTCTTTCTTTTTTGGAAATAAGCTCTTTTCATTGATACTGCAGACTTCTGCTGAATAACCTTAGCTTTAAAAAGAAGTGCTATGTAGAAGTATTTAAAAGACTCCTGCTAAACTGATGATCTCCTTTGCCTTATACACAACTTTTCATCAACTTGAAATAAAGATTAATATGTCAATGTCAACTTTATGAGAATGACAAGTCAAACTGTCACCTCATTAGACTGCTGAAATGATGAGAGAATAGAGTACACTAATATTAGACTGCCTGATATGGTGAAAGGATTAAAAATAAAACCAAGTGATTTTTGGTATGAGAACAATATGTTCAAATGTCAAAACAAGTTTAAATATTTTATCAACACTACAGGTTAATAATGTTTTAAGAAGACTAGCTCATATAATTACAAAATGTGATGCTGAGAAAATACACAGACAAGAGTACCCTGCTTTTATAGGTTAGTAAGTGTAAGAAGAGAGGCAGGTTTCAGAGTCATTTCTTTTCTTAGTTTATTTAGAAACTAGAGGCCCGGTGTATGAAATTCGTGCATGGGTAGAGTCCCTAGGTCTGGCAGGCGATCAGGGCTTATCGGGCATCTCACCCAGTCCCGATCGGGGCTGGGCCGGCCGGGGCCTGCTGGCTGCCAGCCAGAGCCTGCCAGCCAGGGCCTGCTGGATAGGGGGAGGGACCGCGGGAGGTTTGCCGGCTGTGGGGGAGGGACCAGGGAGGTTGGCCAGTCATGGGAGGTTGGCTGTGGGAGCACACTGACCACCAAGGGGCAGCTCCTGCACTGGGCGTCTGTCTCCTGGTGGTCAGTGCGTGTCACGTTGACTGGTCGACCAGTCGTTCCGGTCGTTCTGTCATAAAGGTCATTTAAGCTTTTATGTATATCAGTGATTCCCAAAGTGGGTGCTACCGCCCCCTGGTGGGCGCTGCAGCGATCCAGGGGGGTGGTGATGGCCACAGGTGCATTTGTTTTAACTTTTTTTGTATTACGTTTCTATTCTGAGTTCAATAAATAGTTTCATAATTTCAAACTTCAATGTTTCTAATTTACACCTTTCTTTACTATATTTTACGAAAAAGGTAGAAACATTAATACATATATCTTTCTGTTTAATTGCTATTAAAATTTAAAAAAAATTAATTTCCAGGGGGTGCTGAGTAATATTTTTTCTGGAAAGGGGGCGGTAGGCCAAATAAGTTTGGGAACCACTGATGTATATAGATATTACACTAAAGAGATTTCTTATTAATAACATTCCAACCTCTAATTCTGTATCTTTCTTTTTTTATTGTGTTAAAACATACCTAACATAACATTTAACATGTTAACCATTGTAAGTGTATGAATCGTTGACATTAAGTACATTTACAATATTGTGCAACCACTACAACTATCTATTTCCAGAACTTCTAATCCCTTATCTTGATATAAACCAGTGCTGAGAGGAAGGAGAGGAAATCCGGTTTATGGTCGTGTAAATCATAACCTTCAATGACTTCAGTGAAAGACAGATTAACTTTCCATACTTGACTAGGAGGTACCTTGGGAGCACTCTGAAGTTGCAGGCTGTGCTCTCTAACCCACAAACTGATGAAGAGAAATCTGGCTGTGGACATAATCATCCATGAAGACTGGAAAAGCAGTTCCATTATTAGGGCCCCTATTTCTAACTCCACTTTAACATCTGTCCTCGTCCCCCCTCCTCTCCCCCCCAACCCTGTTTCTAGACACACTGATTTTGTGTATTAGATAAGGGAGTATTGCTTAATGGCTTTGGGGCTGTTCCTAACTGGGAAAGAACCAGTGCACCCCTTCCCTCCTCATCCTGTTGTGGACTGTCCCCTCCTTCCATGGGACATGAGCACCATATACCAAGCTCCACTACACACAGGTCTAAACTTCCCTGCTCCCAGGCCGGGGCTTGAGTGACAGCTGGATACCCACTAGTGCTGAGGCAAATATTGTTGAGCCTGAAGCCCAGCAAAGGTACTCCCAGGACCTTTCAGTCTGTAGGCCGACGCTCTATCACTGAGCCAAAACAGCTAGGCATCTTTTACTTTTAATTGGAGCATTTAGTCAATTTAAAAGTAATATAATTACAAATATATTTGAATTTAAATTTACCACCTTACTATTTGTTCCATCTGTTCTATGTTTTCTTTTCTCTCCTTTCTTGCCTTCTTTGGGATTATTTGTTTATCATTCCATTTTCTTCCTTCTAATAACATGAGGTTTATATATTGTTTTATATCACCATAAAGGCTTTATAACAAGTGTTCTAACAAATGGTCTATTAAAAATTTATTTCGTTTCTGACAGACTGAAATGATAAATGAGGGCTGTTTTCTCACTGGCAGGCATGAGTTTGATAGCAAGCTTCCCCAACAGCAGGACACCACACCCTGATGCTATCACTTACACTAATCTACAAAGAGAATTTAGTTAGAAGGACAAAGTACCCAGGAAAATTACTGCATACTCAACAGAATCACAACCTTCCAGCACTTAATGCAATTGTTTCTATTTGGCCCAAATTGCAAACTATATTCTCAACTTGTTTTTCAAGTTTCACATTGGTAGTATTTGTAAACTTAAATTATCATTTAAAATGAGATATATATAGCCCAGCCGGTGTGGCTCAGTGGTTGAGCGTCAAACCATGAACCAAGAGGTTGCTGGTTTGATTTCTGGTCAGGGCATGTGCCTGGGTTGTGGGCTCAATCCCAGGTAGGGGGCATATAGGAGACAGCCGATTGATGATGCGTTCTCATCCTTGATGTTTCTATCTCTCTCTCTCCTTCTCTCGTCTTCTCTCTGAAATCAAAAATATATTAAAAAATAAAAATATATAATGAGATATTTATAGTTCTTCAAGAACAGTGGGGTTGCAACTAATAGTAATATTAAGACAACTTTCTAAAATATGTATAAGGCTTACAATTTACAAAGTGCTTTCACAGAATTATTCTATTTAATCAAACCAGAAATTTATAGATGCCAAGAACTTACCTGGAGATGAGAATGATTTAATTTGTGGATGGTGGAAATATAGTTTTAAAAATATAAACCATGGCATAGGGCTTAAAAGATATACAAAACAGCAAGAGGTAAGAATAGAAAAAAAGAAAATGTGCTTATTTACATTCTTTAAGTAATATCCCTTGAAGCTATTCTAATTAGACAGCATGAGAAAGCCCTGTCTACTCTTGGGTCAGTAAATTACAGCCTGTGGGCCAAAACTGGCTCTGCCCATTCATTCACTCACTGTCTACGCTGCTTTTGTGGCAGTTGAGAAGTTGCAATCAGAGAACATACAGCCTGCAAAACTGAAAATATGTATATCTGGTCTTTTGAAGAAAAAGTTTGTAGACCCCTGGCCAATAGCAGACTTTCATCTTTCCTATCTGCCTGGGCAACTCCTATTCTTACTTCAAGTCATCATCTGACATGCTAGAAGAGAGGCAAATGGGAAAAGACAAATAAGGGCAATTCATGAGCTACTGTTACCAGTTACTTTCTGATCTGATATAGGCACTGCTCAGTGATGTAACTGCACTTCCGAGAATGCCAATGAGGTGCTTGCTCATGCTTCATAAAGTGTCCCTTTATCACACATTTCTCTCTCTCTGGGCTATGATGCAATTAGCCCATTCAAGACTCAAATGGAAGAAAAGAAAGGTCTTTTTGGAGCCCAGGGACACACTTACCTCCGGCAGAGTGAATACATCCTGTTGGAGGCTGTGATTCGAAAATACTCTGGTTTTGAGCGAGAAGAGCTGCCACTTATGGTTCCCAAACCTAAACGCTGGTAGTCTCTGAAACAGGCTTTTTCCACCAACTGTTCCATTGTAGACTTCTCGGAGGCCTTCAGAGTGGTACTTGTGGGGAGTTCACTCTCATCTGAAACTGTGATGGCAGAAACAGGTTTTTTAAAAAATGATGTAACTCCAAGGAGAAGAGGATCCTTAAACCAAGGGAGGTTTATATTAAGGCCACAGGTCTATGCATATCACCAAACATGTAACTTCTAGGGGGAAGCATTATGGTCAAACAAATTTGAACAGTAATGAATAGTCAAGAAATAAAATACCAGGAGCTCAACTGACTCAAAATGTCAGCAGAATTAACTCAAAATGTCTAAAAACAACACAATTTTGAATTCATTACTATAGTTTTGTTTCAGTCAGACTTGCTTATTAATGCCAAAGTGTAGTGATTTCTATTTAGGACTCTATAGAATAAATACTCAACTTTGTCAGAGGCCAACCCATCAGTAAAATTAATCTTTAATATGAGCACAACACAAATTCATCACCAAGATTTCAGTTAACTTTTCAAAGCATAAACTTTTATTAGAAGTTTCTAGATTAAGCAGAAGTTCAATAGTGGGAAAAGACCTTTCTTAGAGAGGTCTGAAGAAATTATACATTTTTTGGGAAATATTTTTGTCAGAGGATGTGGTATACATGAAAAACTCCCTCATAATTTTGCAATCACAGGTTACAGAATCCTTTAAGATTTTAGATGTGAAAGAATTTACCCAATAATCAAGTATTTTAGGGAGGATTAAAAAACACACACACCAACATTCCTAATTGGTACTGCATGTTCTAACTAAAAAAAAAAATCCATTGTTAAAAACTGTCTGAATTTACTTTCTTATTTATTTTTAAAGTAAGAGAGGTCAAATTAAGCTTTCAAAGTTTTTGGAAATGTACTCAAAGCTATAATGTCAAAGGGAACACTATGGCTCTCTTCCATTAAAAGAATAAAACCTAACAGCTCATCCCTATAAATACTACAGATATTAGTTTGTGAACTACACAATGTAAAAATATTGTCAGGTATCAGTTTTGTGTTGTCTTTTATTTTTAGAGGAGCAAAAGAGCAATATATAATTTGGTCTTTTGGTGGAATATCATCTATAACAATAAAAGCATAATATGCTAATTAGACTGGACAGCTGAACGACCTTCTGGACATCATTCAGGACATCCTTCTGGATGAAGCCGCTGCAGCAGCGGCTGAGGCAAAGGTGGTTAGGGGCGATCAGGTAGGCAGGCAGAGGTGGCTAGGGGTGATCAGGCAGGCAGGCAGGTGAGTGGTTATGAGCTAGTGGTCCCGGATTGTGAGAGGGATGTCCGACTGCCGGTTTAGGCCCGATCCCAAGGATTGGGCCTAAACCGGCAGTCGGACATCCCCTGAGGGGTCCCCGATTGTGAGAAGGCGCAGGCCAGGCTGAGGGACCCCTAGTAGAATAATAGTTTTTGTTCCATGAAATCATAAAATCTTTGAATTAGAAGAGTCAATAGTGATGGGAAGCAATAATTTTATAGGGCTTTCCATGTGCCTGTGCAGAGGCCAGGGTTCCAACAAATGGTCACTTGAGTAATAGTGAGCCTTCTCATTGCCCCCAGAAGCAAGCTTGTAGGTATCCACACTAAAATGGAATGATCTCTCTCAAGATGAGGCTTGTTTCTCCTCCTCCTCCTCCTCCTTATTATTATTATTATTATTATTGTTACATAAGAACTGGTGATTGATTCTAATCCTGAGAAGGAAAAGGGTGTAATGGTATCCTGCCTCTCAATTAGATCAAATTCTCTCTAGTGTTAATACCATAAGCATACTTGATTCTGGGTTAAGGAATAGAAAACAGTCACTGGTTTGCTACTGGTTTCCTGCCTCTACATTCTTTTTTTAAAATCCTCACCTGGGGATATTTTTTCCATTGATTTCTAGAGAGGAAGGGAGGGAGGAGGCGGGGGGAGAGAATTGACATGAGACACATCGATTGGCTGCCTCCCACATGTGATCCTACCAGGGCCAGGGAAACTGCAACCAAGATACGTGCCTTTGAGCGCAAATCAAACCTGAGACCCTTTGGTCTGAGGGCTGATGCTCTAACCACTGACCTAAACCGGCCAGGGCTGCCTCTATATTCTTGACTAAGAGGTATCTCAGCTTTTCAGATTCTGCCCTTTTAAATAATTAGCAGCCACCTTTTAAAAAAATCATCTAAGAGTCCCTTTATCTTAGGTCCTCCGTTAAAAAAAATTTTTTTTATTAGTATCAGAGAGGAAGGGACATGGAGAGATAGATAGAAACATCAATGATAGAGAGGATCATTGATTGGCTGCCCCCCAACATCCCACACTGGGGATCAAGCCCGCAACCTGGGCATGTTCCCTGACCAGAAATTGAGCTGTGACCTCCTGGTTCAGAGGTTGATGCTCAACCACTGAGCAATGCCACCCGCGTTAGGTCATCCATTTTGATTAAGAGCATCCACGATATACTCACCACAACTCAAAATCTTCAACTTCAGATATCTAATGTCCTATATTCTTATTCTTATTCCATAACAATGAGGTACAGGGACTACTTTATAACTAAATTTCCTATGCAGTGGGGTTTCTTTCTTTCTCCCTTTAGTGAGACCCACATAACCATGGCCAATCAGAGCCACAGATTTAGTAAAGGAGAAGTATAATTTAATCAATTTTAAACGAGTAATGGAATATTGGGAAAATAATTTTTTTTTTCAGTTCTAAGAAGCTGGTAAGTGCCTCCAATCTTCCTATGAGATCTAAGCTTTTGTGAGTCAGGTTTAAGTGCAACTATGTCTTAGTCTCTTATTCTTATATGGAGAATGAATAAAACTGATTCATGAAGGAAAAACAGGTTCTCACATACCAGATATGTCATCTTCCTCATTCCATCCAGGACGACTCACTCTCTCTTCCACAATGGTCCCTGTTCTCTTCTTCAATAAATACTGACGCCCAATTGTCATTTTCCCTGCCCTTTTGGCACCTTTCACAATCGTTTTGGAGAAGGTGCTACAAGTTATAAAATGAAAGAGAATGTCAATTCAATCTGAAGACACCATTTATATTTTTGATACCTGCATAGCTCAACTTGTTTCTTCTCCATTCCCACAGCTACTAGTTTTGTCCAGACCTCACTAAATCTCTCCTCCTTGAGATTTCTTTTTACACGTAGCGGACTAATTTCCAATAAAACACTCTGTCATCAGGACACCATTTTAGGCAAAAGTGCAAGAACCTAGAGTTTGGCTTTTTGGTCAAGCATGCCCCCAATCCTCTCTGGCTGCCCACCCACTGTCTCCACCAGTTCCCACAAACGGTGCCTGTGGGAGTCCCGGAGGAAAGCCAGCCTGCGCCTCCTGCAGACCCAAACTCTCTGCTAACTCACAGGCTTTTCTTTGGGATCAGATGACAGTTATAGTTGGTGACACCTTACTTCTTAAATGTTTTAAGTGCTGACTGGTGTCCTACCTTTGATACTGTAAACCTTTACAGATATAAAAAGAGTAATACTATTCCCCTTTTTGAGAGGAGAAAAAAATAAGAAATCAGACATTTGAGCATCCTTTTGAGAATCGGCTTTAATCAAAGGGAAACTAGTATGCAAGTCACATGGACCTAAAAGTACTTTATTTTTTGCTGATAGAAAATCTGGGTACAGAGTATTTATAATATAGGGAATTAAACAAATAACCTGCTTCCTAAATAATCACATTGAGATAAAGTTTTCGAGTTTGGTTGTTTTTTGTTATATTCTTCTCTACCACAAAGAACACAATTCTTTTTGTGTTTTCTTGCCATTCAGTGAAAAGTGGTAAGGATTCTTTTGTTGTAAAATAGTTTTACTAGACCTGTCTTTTGTCATTTGAAATGTAAATCTGAGGGTTATGAAACATATCTTAGATAATTGTTAGAAATCACATAATACTGATGTTTCCTAAATTAAAGCCAATTGTGAATCACTTCAAGTATAACTTAAACTCAATGGGAGTTTTAAAAAATTTTTCTAATTAGAGCTATATCTCTGTTTTATATATATAATTCTAAAATATTAAAAAAATTTAAATCGCTATATCTCTTTTTATAGCTGGATAATATAAACTTGATATAATAAGCTTAACTTTACATATAGATGTATATGTAATTCCCCCGATAGTTTCTAAACATAAAACATCATACAAGCTTTGTTTCTTCCAATGAGGGCTGGGATAGTGAATGTCAAAGGCTCCTCTGTGACTCCACAGTGCTAAGACAAGATGCCTGTTTCACCTTCAGATACTCAGGAAGCTGTTCATGCTTCAGCATTTATACCTGGATATGTGTGTTCTCCTTCACTTATCACCTGTCAAGTGGTACAGGTGGCTAGCTATGCAATTGAGAAGCGATACACTGTCTGGAACCTCAACTCTTCTATAATGCCCAGCCTACCTCACTTTCAGGCAAAGGAAAAGCTTTCTTCTCCAAAGTCTGCAGAGTAGCCCTTAATATGTAATTTTTATTGGCAGATACCCAAATTCCAGATAATTAATGATGAAAGCCCCTGTATTTTATCACTAATTAAAGAAAATTTTAAAGCAATTGCTATTTTGTCATAACTGAAATTTAAATTTCAACATAAATTCCTAAAATTTTCAACAGAAAATAAGGGTTCCTACTAAAGAAATATGACAACTAAAATACAATGCTGGATCCTGGATTGGATCCTATACCAGCCAGGAAAAATGAGTAGTTATAAAAGATCATCAGCAAAATTTGAATTAATTTTATTGCGTGGACTCTGGGTTAAATAAAAGTTCTACACCAATTAAATTTCCTTGTTGTGATTACTGTATGGTAGTTACATGAGATAATGTCTTTATTCTTAGGAAAGACAGAATAAAGAGGCGTTAAGTATGTAACTCAAATGGTTTAGAAAAAATATATATGAGAGAGAAAAGGATAAAGAAAATGGATCAAAGTATAAATAATTGTGAATCTGGCTAAAGGGTATACAGGAATTCTTTGTACTAGGCTGTAACTTTTCGGTAAATTTTGAAGTTGTATCAAAACAAAAAGTTACAAAAAAATAAAAAGAAAAAATAAAGGCTCCCATCTTTAGATCAAAGCAAAAACGGTTTACTAGGTCTGGATATTAATGAAAACTGAATGGATTGCTCAAAGGCATTTAGAAAGTGGTCAATATGGAAAAAAGGGAAAATAGAATTTCACATTCTAAAACTGCATATGAGCAATAGACATCTGAGTCAAGCCTCTTGCAGCTTTTAGTTTTGAAACTTGTTACATACACCAATTCTGCTTTCTGAGCTTGGTCCAACGGGCTTGACACAATGGCAAATGGAAAGAGCAGTCTCCACACCTTGACCCAAAGGACAGGCCACTTCCCCGACTACCAGTGAGGGGAGGCTGAAATGAGGAAACCAGACTGTCTTCTTACCGAAAGGAAGTGTTCTTTTCCTTCTGTTTGGGTAAAATTATTTGCGGAGTAGTTTGTCCAGTAGCAAAAGCAAAAGTGGTGAAAATGGACTGAGGATATCGGAACTTCATCAGCTGCTTCTTAAAGATCTCTACTACTTCAGGACTCACTTCTTCATCAAATGCTACTTTAATCAACTGGAGACAAAAGAAATGAAATGTACTGGAAGAATTAAGGATTTCTGATAATTTCCCCCAAAATTACTTAACAGTAAATAGTAATATTAAATGGCAAGAGTTTGGAGGTTGAAGGGACCTCGGATATCATGCAATACAATTTAAAAAAAATATATATTTTTTATTGATTTCAGAGAGGAAAGGAGAAGGAGAGAGAGATAGAAACATCAATGAGAGAGAATCATTTTGGCTGCCTCCTGCATGTCCCACACTGAGGATTGAGCCCATAATGAGGGCATGTGCCCTGACTGGGAATTGAACCGTGACCTCCTTCCTGGGTTCATAGGTCGATACTCAACCACCGAACCACATCAGCTGGAAAAATTATTAATTTTAAAAATAAAAATTATGGCACAGGGAGGTTTAATTGACATAGATGGTTAGTTGGCAAGAAAAATCATGTATTGTTAAGTCGGGTTGCTTTCAGACTACCTTTTCTATGATGAGATAGAGAAATTAACTTGCAGTAGCTGAAGTAGAAACATGTCCTTCTCTATGACCTAACCAGGTCTCTTCCTACACACAGATACAATAAACCTAATTAAAAATTCAGTGTGACTAGAATCCTAACCAGCATAGCCTGGCAACATTCTAATTTAGAGCTCTTTAGCAGTTGGAGCAGTGAAGAAATCCCAGGAAGTCACAATCTTGGGTGATGGGAGAAGGTCTGGAGCTTAGAGATCTTCGGCCTCATATTTCCCAATTAGCATATGGAGGAATAGGGAGGGCTTCTTGACTGGAAGAAATGAGGGAAGAATTGGAGCCCTTGGAAATCTGAGACAAAGCATGAAGAATAGCAACGGGAAAAACTAAGGAAAGACCACTCATCCAGTGACTGGTCTGCATCAGTAACTCCGCAAGTTCTGATACATTCAGAGCTCCCTGGAAAAACCTATGCTTTATTAGGGATGACTTAGTACCCATAGTACTTCAGCCCTAGCCGTAATGATCAGAACTTTACTTCTTCCACAGAAGAGCCATAAAGCATTTCCTTCTGAAACAGATGCCAAGTGAATTGCTTTCTATATGAAGGCTTCAGCACACACAAACTGAGGCATGACTTGGCAGAGAACAAGAGTCAACTGTGCATCTGAATTTCTAAGATCACTAAGTATTGACAGATAATCTGCTGGTACTCTGAGTTGGCCAACAGGGCTCAGGAAATGAGGGATTAAATCCAAGATGATTCATGTGTTTGCAGCCTTGAAGATTACCCTCTCGGACCTTCTGATCCTCCTCATCCACTAGCCACTAACCACATGACCACAGAAAGTGGCCGTGACATCATTTGCAGAAAACTTTTAAATGAATGGCTCCCTTTCTTAATACCTGAAAAGATGCGGATGTGATCTGCAGTCCTTCTTGCATGTTCTGCTGTAGCTGGTTCTGCATTGTGATCTTCTTCTCCTTGGTAATGGAGGCGATCGGGAAACTTCGCATAACTGTCTGTTCACCAACTACAGGAAGACAAGGCCTGGGTTCAGCAACAGCATATTACTGCTCATGTCCAGAGTCCCTGCTGCTCACCTCACCAGACTCTGCTGGGGAAATGTCTCTGGAGAGCACAGTGCCCAGGAATGCAGTGAGAGAAACGCATGATGCAGAATCACATTCATTAATGTTACTGCGTGGCGCTGACTCCCAGGACACAATCCTTCCCCAGAGGGAAGAAACGGGCACAGCCTGCCTGCCTTCAGTCTGTTTCCCTCGCCACTGCATTCCATACAAGATCCTTGGTTTAAGGCAATCTTATAGGAAGGGTAGGTTTTACACAGAAAAACAGAAGTATCTTTAATATTGAAAAGGCATCTATGATATTTAATGTAAGAATAAAGCAAAAGAGAAAAGGTTTTAAGTGTGCATCTGTAGGTGGTAAAAGGTACTGTACTACATGCATGTGCCCGTGGAAGGGCTTAGGACCAAGATTTTTAGGAGTTTACGTATTAAAGCAAAAAAAGGAAAATATAAATAACTATAAACTATCTGAAGTTAAGGAGATGGGTCTCTAAAAGAAGTGTCCCACGTGAGCTCACAGTTCCCCGTGGGACAGGAGTCACACACAGAATACAACATGTAATTAGCTCCTACGTGTGAAGGAGCAAGGCGTTCAATACTGTAGAAAGGGCGAAGATGTCTGCATGCTAGGTGGCTAGGGAATGATTCCTGGAGGAAGTGAGAGGGAAGGGGAGCTTTGAAGAGATTGTAGGTATGCATTTGAGACAGCCGCACCAGCAACAGCACAGGAGCAACAATAGGCAAGGCTTCTCAGCTAGTGAGCAGACGGGGTGAGAACTGAACCAGGTTTAGGGGACTTAAGTGCCCATATACTTATCCACTCATTATCAGCAGAATTTCTCATTCCTTGGATCTATCAATTCCTAACCTGAAAAATTCTGATTATTCTCTTATGTTAAGCTCATACCTAGAGGCTAAACAAAATCTGGATGTACATAGGATTTAAGTTCATGGATGTATTAAACAAACTTATATAACACATGTAAAATGATCAGATTTCTGTGTGTCATTGAAGGAGACATATTAAGTTAGAAATTTAAAAAGAGAAATAAACTAAAAGAGGAGTATAAAAAGGTTTTCTCTGATAAGAAGAATTTTCCTAAATGTGAAATTAACCCCCAAATTGACAGGATAAAACAAGAGGACAATATAAGCTTTCACACTAAGTATGCCATTGATTTGTTTAAAATAAATGAATTAGAGCAATTTAAATGACCAACAGTCTCATATATTTATATGTCCAGTATGTATGTTTATGGCCACTGAACTCACAAAAGTCATAGTATAAAAAAATTATAAGTACTGGATACTTAGTTTCTTTTAAAAATACATATGCTTACAGATACAAATGTAATTTATGTATAATAATATGACAGGAGAAGGCTGAGAAATTTTGCTCTATTTTCATTCTTTTTCAAAATGAGCATGACTATTCCTATTTCATTTCTTAAAATTTATGTGCTTTTTGTTTATTATATAGTAAACAATATTTTATGATCAAGATAATGAACCAGCCCTAACCGGTTTGGCTCAGTGGATAGAGCATCGGCCTTCGGACTGAAAGGTCCCAGGTTCGATTCCAGTCAAGGGCATGTACCTTGGTTGTGGGCACATCCCCAGTAGGAGGTGTGCAGGAGGCAGCTGATCGATGTTTCTCTCTCATCGATGTTTCTAACTCTCTATCCCTCTCCCTTCCTCTCTGTAAAAAACAATAAAATATATATATATTTAAAAAAGATAATGAACCATCTTGATTCTATACACTGTGAAATTTTTTAAAAAGTGTTCTTTTAAATTGATTTCAAAGAGAGGAAGGGAGAAGGAGAGATAGAAACATCAATGATCAGAGAGAATCATCAATCAGCTGCCTCCTACATGCCCCATATTGAGGATTGAGCCGTCAACTGGGCATGTGGCCTAACTAGGAATTGAACTGTGACCTCCTGGTTCATGGGTTGACATTCAACCACTAAGCTACACCAGCCGGGCCAACTGTGAGATTTTAAAGACACTACATTTATACGTCTGAATCCCACCATTTAACAAAATGCATAGCACATAGTAGGTACTCATCAAATGCTGCTGGATGAGTAACACCAGAAGAGGAAAGAACTTTAGTGACTATTTATCCCAATGGTTCCCAGTCCTCAGTAGGCAACACAGGCACTTCTGGGGCTTAAAAATACAGAGGTCTACGTCTCCTATTCTTAGAATCCTAAGTCAGATTTGAATTCAATGTTTGAGAGTTGGGCCCAGAATTGTTTGTGTGGTTTTTTTCCTAAGATTTCTAGATAATCCAAATTCATCAGTCAAGGTTGTGAACCACCGCATCATCACTAACCAAGCTCATTTCCCTCATTTTATAACAGGGGAATTTGAACGCTAGTGAGGCTAGGAGACTAAGATGTCGACAGCAATCTAACATTGAGCTTCTTGATTTGGAGTCCAATTGTTTTACCTAAACCTAATATGCTTTTCCATCAACCAGTTTAAGATCAAATACTGATTTCAAAAAGATGATTCAGACTTGATACGACCTGCTATTCCTTTCTAATAAAGAAGATTGTGTAGGGAAGTAGAAAACAGAAATAGAAGTTGAAGGAATTTAGTGGATAGAAGAGAAGTTGTCTGCTAAGAGCCAAATGGGGTTAGTTGAAATGCTATGAGAGGGAGGTGGGGTTAGTTAATTAGTTGGTAAAATCCTGGGTTTTAGCACATTGTTCCAAAAAAGTTAGCTTTACAGTTAACTGTAGGGCTCAGAAAGGTGGGGCCAATCAGCAAGGGGCATTGTTAGCGACCAGATACTGTGACTATACCTAGTCACAATATGCTGCCAATGAAATTATGATCGTGTCAGTGAATTTACTGTTAAGATACCCTTGGTTCTTCTAGTAAGAATCTATGATCCAGAAGCAGAACAGACTGTTGAACCTCAGATGGAAGGCAGGGGAGGGTGGGTGGGAAGAGATCAACCAATGAACTTGTATGCATTTATGCATAACCTGGGGACACAGACAATGGGGTGGTGAGGGTCTGGGGGGTTGGGGGGATGAGCGAGGGTTGCAAGAGGTTAATGGAGAAAAAGGAGGACCTATGTAATATTTTCAACAATAAAGATAAAAAAAGAATCTATGATCCAAATTATCATTAGCTGTGACAGACAAAAGTATTCTTAATAAACCCTTCATGGCAAAAAGCTGACTTTGAATCTGGAAAGATCTGCAAATCAAATCCTCATGCAGCACATACATATCCATGCTCTGATGGCAAACACCAGCCATACCTAGCTGATCGTGGGGCGTCCCCCTGAACAGAATTCTGTACGTGGTGAGGAACAAGGCTCCTTCGGCCGGCAGCAGCTGTGGGCCTCCCAGGAGGCCTCCAGTGGCTTCTTCTCTCCCATCAGGATCCAGCAGAACTCGAAGACCCTCACAAACAATTTCTTCTCCTGGCAGCAGGGCAGGTCTAAGAATCTTAGGCTAACAACAGAAAAAGCATTTTAAACATAACTCTTGTGCGGTTTCCAACACTTAGACAAGGTTATCTTTCCAAGTTACAGATCTAAAGAACTTGAGCCAGATATCCCAGGCAGCCAATACTGACAAAACAGATTTGGGAAGAGGCAGAAATGTCATATCTCTGTGCAAATGTGGGAAGATTCTTTGCAGCATTGCTTATTAAAAGGAAAATCATTGGAAATTACTAAAATGCTTGAAACAGCTATTCAATGCAATAATTTAAAAAAAAAAGGCATGAATCTATATGTGTTAATGTAGAATGATATCCAGAATACACTGTTAAGTATATATCACGATCCCCTTTTTGTTAAAAGAAAAGTATAAGAATATGAGCCAACTGTTAAAGGTGGTGCTCTCATGGTTAAGGGTAGTGGTGGGGTGGGGATGGGCAAGACAAGGGGACTTCAGCTCTGCACAATGTGTATTGCTTTAGTGCCTCAGTTATGTTTGTAAACTGAAAACAACAACAACAACAACTTAAAAAAGTGGATGCATCTTTAAAAAGACCCACCCTTCTTGGCCCTTAATGAAGATTCACACAACAAATGGCCAAGTAATGAACATTCACACATCTTGGGAAATACAAAACCACAAGATTCACTCCTCTAAAGAGTTCAGTACTAGGAAAAAATCCATCTCTCTTGAATATCACTTATGCTTCCTTTTAAAGCAGTAAAAACAAAATAAATCAGCATTTTTCTTTCTTGGCTCTAAGAAGCTCGGAGCTAAATGTAAAGCCAAAGCCTAATAACCACTGTTTCTCAGGTTTCTGATGACATTATATTTCTTACCCACCTGGCTTCTGATTTCTCCTCCGAATTTATTTTTAATAATTCTGTTGTATAGGTAAGCGGGTCCTGAACCCTAGCCCACAGGCTGGTGCCAGGCGAGCTGCAAAATCGTCAACTGGGAGGCTTGTTAAAGGACAGACCCCAGGCCAAGTCCCAGGGTGCTGCAGTGGGAAATAAGGAACCAGGAGGCTGGGCAGGGCTCAGGGCTCTCAATTTTTAATCGACTTCCCAGATACTTGTGACATATGCTCGCACTGTATAGAGATTGAAGAACCTGGTGTTCGTACAGTACTTGCCTTAAGTCCTTTTTTTGGAAGTAGGCAAGACAGAAAATCCTGGCTTGGGCTTGGAAGTTAGAATGTTCATAATTTATGCCCTGCCTGTAAAAGCAACTCGAGGTCACTGTTGCTCTTTGCTGAACAGTATCCTTTTTATGAGGAGCTACATGATGGACTCCTCTGGAAGTTTAATATATTATTAAAACTGGAGCTGGTCTCTGTAAAAGGTTAGGAGAAGGCACTTCCTGGGGCACAGCAGTCTATTGTTGCTGTTTTTAAGAAGAGATGTTCTACCCCGGAAGCACGTGGTCTGACACATTACCTTCTGTATAGGTGGAAGTCTTCTACTCTCTCGATGCACTGCTTCCAGGGTCTCAATATGCATAGCTACAATTCCTAGGATGAGTCAGAGTATTCAAAACAAAAGGGCACAAAACAAGCAGAATTACAACAAATTCTGGATATTTTAGAACTAAAAACTAATCATATTTTGGTGGTTCCTCAAGGAGTTGAACATAGACCCAGCAACAACTCCTAGGGATACACCCAAAAGAACTGAAAATAAGGATTCACACAGATACTTGTAAGTGAATATTCATAGCAGCACTATCCGCAGTAGCCAGAAGGTGGGAACAATGTAAGTGTCCATCAACAGATGAATGGATAAACAAAATGTGGTATTCCCATACAATAAATGGACTGAAGTTCTGATACCTACTACAACATGAATGAACCTTGAAAACATGCTAAGTAAAATAAGCCAGACACAAAAGGAGAGATATTATGATTTCACTAATACAAATACCATGCCATCTTATTTTTATTACTATATTTAAAAAATATTTTTATTGATTTCAGAGAGGAAGGGAGAGGGAGATAGAGATAGAAACATCAATGATGAGAGAGATTCATTGATCGGCTGCCTCCTGCACACCCCCTACTGGGGATCGAGCCCGCAACCTGAGCATGTGCCCTTGACTGGAATCAAACCCGGGACCCTCCAGTCCGTAGGCTAATGCTCTATCCACTGAGCCAAACGGGCTAGGGCTACTGTGCCATTTTATATAAGGGACTTGGGCATTCATGGATTTTTGGTATCAGTGAAGGGGTGGTGGTGTCCTGGAACCAATTCTCCATGGATACCAAGGGAGGATTGTAAATAGCATGGCTTAACTTCACGGAAGACAAGTATTACAGGTTGTTAGCTGGAAAAAGTAGACCCATAACAATTCTTACTCAATTACCTACAATATTATGGTTCTCTAATATCTGCAGTGATTACCTGGGATCATGCAATGAAGGCTCTTGATGTGGTCCTGAGTAACTCCACTCTCTGTACAAACTTTGTCAATAAAGCGGGTAATGAAACGCACAACAGAATTGGCAATGTCATTATTCTCTGAATCTTCAAACCCGCTTTCTGTATCATAGCTCTCAGCTACACTTCCTGCAATACTAAGAAAGTCAAGGAGAGAAATCATGGTCAGTTCTCAAAATGTGACAAATCACTACCATATCACAATTTCCATGCAATTTAAACTCGCTCAGAGAGACGTCTACCCAAGCAGAAGGCTCACTTATAGCTCCTTTATAAGTGACCACAGTGAAACATATTCTACTTGCCTACATTTGGAAGCTACTGTCAGAGATTGTCCTTTGGACCCTTTTTTTTTTTTTTTTTAAAGAATAAGGTACCTTCTGTGATTTTCCTAAAAGGAAACCAGGAACTATGGAATATAAAGCAAAAAAAGGACCCTTTCACTTATTATCTGATACTTGAACCTTCTAGAAAAACTTGTCCTCCTAAGTTAATTACCACATTGAGCCAAAGTAGCAGCTATCTTTGCCCTCTGGCAACTGGGGCACATGTTCCCTGGTAGGCAAAGTAAAAGATCATTTTTCAGCAAATAGCCCATTCTTCCAAATGGGAGAACCAAGTTGTCCTATGAACCCTTCTCTTGTCCGATATTTATTTCTCTCTGAGAGCATCACAACCCTTTTGGTCACGTTGAAACCATCATTCTACCGTAGGTGTTACATTCACACCGGGAAGGCATTAAGTCTGAAGTGGAGCAGATGTGAAACTTCAATCCCTGCCCTTGTTGCTTAGTCAACAGTTCCCACTTTGAACAAATGCCCGCCTCCTCTGCCTTCTTTTAGGCGGCTGAGCATGGAAAAGACTCATTTGCCTATTCTAACCTACTCAGTTCTCCTTCCCCCAAACCCAACCATGCTAGCCCATTCAGTGTTAAAGTAAAGCTAAGCAATGAATATGGCATCATATCATCCCAAATCATTAAAGAACTTAGGTGTTTTAGCCCCTCACTGTAAAAATCAGGTTGTAGAAAATGTCATGAAGGCTAAAAAAAAAAAAAAAAAAAGAAGCGAGGTAGGAAAAGGAATGCTAGTCAGGAAGGCCTCTGGGGAGGTGACATCTGAGCTGAGAACTAGATGAAGGGAAGGAGTGATTCTTAGGACTCTTTCAGGGAAAGTGCTCCAGGTTGCGGGACAAGCACAAAGGCCCTGAGGGGGTACTATGCTCAGAGTGCCTGACATTAGGCTTAGCAGGGAGATAAGTTTGGCCGACAGAAAAGTGATAGGAAATAAGGTCAGAGCAGTAGCCAGTGGTCAGATCCCACCAGGCCTTGCAGTCCATGGGTTTCATTCCCAGTGGTAGGAAAAGTTGTTGTACAGCTGAGAGGAAGGCAAGGATGAGGACATGATTCCAGGCAAATGCAAGGGATAACTGAGGAAAAGAGAGCCAAGAAACAAATAATCACTTTAGCAAGAAGGAGGTCATTAGTAACCTTTCAAAGCACTTTCTGTAAACTGCTGTGGCAGAAAGGAACGAAGGGCTGGATCAGCAGCTGGTGAGACTGGAAAAAGCAGGTCAAGAAAGAGAAGAGAGTATGGGAGGTGGTTAAGAAGTCAGATGAAGTGAAGGTTTCTTAGTAGAAAAGAACTGAGCAAGTTTGAAAATGGTTAATTTTTAAAATATGTACAGCAATATTTGCCCAAAATAGCTTACATTCTCTGCTAAGCCAGGAAAAGGAGGGTCTGTGTGCCCACGTCTCGGTACCTGTTTGTGACAATGCTGTTGCTCCCACTCTCCCAGTCGCCGGGTGCTGAGGTCCGTAGGAGCTTGTTTTTACTTGTATCGAGTGGGACTAGCAGGTTGACCATGAGGTTGGCAAAGTGGATGGCCTGACTGAAGACGATGCTCTCCTCCCGCTGCACCAGCTCCTGCTGCGTGGATTTGCTCAGCGTCGGCCAGAGGCGGAGCTGCTCGGCCGCCAGGTCCATGGCTGTCTTCTCCTGATATTGGTCATCAGGAATCTTGTCCTAAAAATAAAGCGACACAATCCAAATGCATCACGAGCTTCAGAAAACATGGAAGATGTTCCCATAATTCATCTATTAAATGCCTATATCAGCAAAGATGAAAACATACACACAAAACATAACAACAACAAAACCAAACCTAGTCTTCCTTTTCACCCAGATCCAGCAGGCCTTGAGTGGAACCATGTGACAAACCAGAGGAAGCAGTAGCAAAGCACAGATGGACAGGTGGATACACTTCTCATTGCTGACACTTCACTGCATTTATTTACCTCTGTGGCTCCATCCCTTTTTGGTTGCCAGTTATAACAAATTATCAACCTGAGAACCTATAAATGCTCAGGTATGAATGTTCAAGTATCATTACTAATACTCTTATACATTTCTTCTGTTCTTTTGGAGAAGAAGATGGAATGATCAAAGTCACAATACAGAACTAGATTTCCTTGTAAATGTGGGTGTCAAACATTATACATGAGGATATGGGTACCTGTGGGATTTTTAAGAGGGGTTTCCTGGTCGGGTGAAGAGTTAAACAATAACATGAACTGACAGCTGCATAGCATTTATAGCTGTGAACAGCTGGTCCACCTACAGTCTCACCTGTATCTAACCTGGGACTCAGAGACGGACTTCTCTAGAATACAGGACACAGAGCATGTTTTTGCTTTACAAATGCTTTTGAGAGATAACAATGTTAGCATTACAGTACCAAAAGCACTCCACCAGCCCAATTATTTCTGGAACATGACCTCAAACTAACAGTGTTTATCCTTACCCAAGTGTATTTGGTGTTACGAAAGAAAAATCAGAGTTCAAATTACATTCACACCAACAGTGCACAACAATAATCTGGAGCATCAGCTGGATGTCAGACAGTGCTGTTAGTTATTAAAGTTCTGCTCTTACCACCCTCAATATCAGACCAAGAATATGCTTAAGTTTACGAGGCACCGAGTAATACTGCTGTGTAGTTTCTGTTAGATATCTCAGTAGCTTTATCTCACAAAATAGAAGGCCAAATTAAAATAGAGAATGACGGAAAGGGTCAGCAGTAAGTATTAGCCCAGCATACAAAATGAAAAATTACTCTTAAAGTGAATCCACATGGACAATTAGGCTTTAATTGGCCTCATTCAATTAATGAGGATGAAAATTTCTAACATTTATTATTTACTACATGCCAGGCACTCTTCACTGTGCTTTACTTGTATTAGACATTAAAATCTCATATAGTCATATCTGTTCATCTTACCAATGAGGGAATCAGGCACAGAGGGTAATATGAATTGCCAAGACCAGATAGCTAGTGAACATTTTAAAATTTCACAAAAATTTAAACTACTCTTTCAAATTAAAAACAAATTGTCTCTGTTCTAAAATATTTTTCTTAAAAATATTTTATACTGATAAAATATATAGGAGCATAGAGAATATTACTAAAAGACGACCTTGATTCATTGTTGGCATTGGCATACTTCTGAGCAGGACTAATGAATTTTGCATTTATTTTAAAGTCGATCAACTTGAATTTGACATTTCTTCAAGAAGTTAAGGCACAAAGACATGTACCTAGGTATTTTAGGTGTGTTCGTTCTGTTCAATATCTTATAATTGTTTCCAGGGAATTCTTATTTATTAAAATACTAGAGGGTTGGTGCACGGATTTGTGCACCGGTGGGGTCCCTCAGCCTGGCCTGCAGGGATTGGGCCGAAACCAGCTCTCCAACATGCCCGAGGGGTCCTGGATTGCAAGAGGGCGGTTCTCGGGTGACGCACCCTGGAATAGGGCTCCCTTCTCTCTGGTTCCGGGTGCATCACCCGAGAACCACAGCTGCCAAGTCACTGCAGCTCGGCAGCTCCTGCATTGAGTGTCTGCCCCTTGGTGATCAGTGTGCGTCATAGCCACCAGTAGGAAGGTCGAACGGTTGGCCGTTCGCTTAGGCTTTTACATATATAGATAATAAAATAATTCTAATGCTAAAGAACTGTACTGAGAAGTTATTACAGAAAAAAAAGAGAATGTCAGAAATCAACAGAAGAAAGATGCTCACCACATTGCTCCCTAAGTAAATGTCAAACACATCGGTAGGAAAGTGACTATATTTCCTTTTGCCCTGGGGACATTTGAATACACTTTCCTTGAAGCCAGGATTCTGACCCACACATGCACCTTCCTCCACCTCTCTTACCTTTTGCTTCAGATGCAGGGCATGATTGTCTTCCTTGGCTGAGAGATACAGGGAGCGAACTTGTTCCTGCACTGCATTGTAAAAGGTTGTCTCCCAAAATTGCTGATTTGTCCAAATGGGGTGGTCTTGCACACAGGTGTAAGCAAACTGGCTGACTCCGGGGGCCAGTTTCTGTGAGAACACACAATATGAAATCTATCACCATGGGGCTGGTAGAATTATGACAGTTCTGAAGGTTACAGGGGCCACAGTTAACCACAGATGTGCTCAAATGACTTATCTAAACAGTATCTTATGGCAGTATAAGCTTAGCAACTAGCAACTTACTTTAAAAAATGTTTTTATTGATTTCAGAGTGAGGAAGGGAGAAGGAGAGAGAGATAGAAACATCGATGAGAGAGAATCATTGATTGGCTGCTTCCTGTACACCCCCTTGGAGATGGAGCCCACAACCTGGGCATGTGCCCTGATTGGGAATCGAACCATGACCTCCTGGTTCATGAGTTGACGCTCAACCACTGAGGCACACCTGCCGGGCAACTTACTCATTTTTTTAACTGGCAACTTTGGGATTGCTAGAAAACCCTTTCAGATCTCAGTCACCTTACCTATCAAAATAACATTTTAGCAACAGCTAAAAAGGAAAGCTATTATATGAATTAGAGACTATGCACACAGTAGGCACTGTAGAGTTGGTAGCTTTATTACAATTAGAACACATAAAATCCAATGCAACCTTATTATACAACTCCAGATAATTTAAAATTTCTTATACTTGGTTTTAGAATACCTTTTTTTTTGGTGGGGGGGAGGGTACTAATTGAAATGTGAGTGTGCATACAGCTTGGTCTTTCACACAGAGTGAGGGCATATCATGAACTTGAGACTCAGGAGTAACTGCACCCTCCCTGCTGCTCACTCCAGCCCTTGACCTCCCCACCAGGCTGTTGCCTGGCTCACATACTCCCTAGCGACTGTCCTAGCTTCAAGGGCATTTCCTGGTAACCAAGTCTGGGTACAGGAAGGTAATCTTGAACCAAACCTTCCTTTCCAGGACTTCCTGCTGGGCTTCAGAGTGGCAGTCACCCTTACTCTGTGATTAACAACAGAGGGAAGGAAAACTAACTCTTGCAGGCACTCAAGGAACTTCATAAATATTTATGTATCTCATTTAATACTAAAAATCTTATAAGTGTGTTATTATTGCCAATTTAAGGAAAACTGAAGTTCAGGGAGGTGTAAATAACTGCCCAAGGTCATATAACAATTACATAAGTGGTGGTTTAAAGGGCAGACTTTGCTGGTTCCAAAGCCCCTGCTTTTATGATACCAAACTGTCTTGCAAAGGAACTGAAAGCAAATCACAAAACACATGAAATACCAGTTAGACTGCTGTCTGTTCCTTTTTTCTGCACTTTAGGATTTTGTTTCCCAAAGTAATATTCTGCCTTGACACCTCTGATATGATTTCAAATTGATAATGCATTTTATTGTATTAGAATATTATTAAAATATATATTTTATTGATTTTTTACAGAGAGGAAGGGAGAAGGATAGAGAGGTAGAAACATCAATGAGAGAGAAACATTGATCAGCTGCCTCCTGCACACCTCCTACTGGGGATGCGCACGCAACCAAGGTACATGCCCTTGACCGGAATCAAACCTGGGACCTTTCAGTCCACAGGCCAACGCTCTATCCACTGAGCCAAACCTGTTAGGGCATATTTGAATTTTTTATAAGAGTTTATTTGAGCCAAACTGATGACATATGCTGAGGAGCAAAATCTCAAATACTCCCTGCATTTAAATTTCACAGATAATTTACATTGCTGAATTTCAGTTAATGATTTGAGTCATCTTTTCACAGCTATTGCTTTCACCTCTAAAAGATAAAAGATGTTTCAACATTTTTTATTCCATCATTTCTCAGCAAACAGCAGGTAGCATTCTCAATAGTTAGACACTTTTTGTCCATTTCATTCTTTGGAATTGAGTTCATCTTTTTTTCTGTCAGTAGAACTAAAGTTTCTGATAATAAAAGTTTTCTTTTGAACCATTTTAATAAGCAGACTAAACCTAGAGCTGGAACAGGCACCAGGCATACCACGAAATGCAGTACCTGTGTAGTTAGAGGTGGTGTGGCTATATCAACTTGCCTATGAGAGTCTATGTCAGCCGTGGGCAAACTACGGCCCGCGGGCCGGATCCGGCCCATTTGAAATGAATAAAACTAAAAAAAAAAAAAAAAAAAGACCGTACCCTTTTATGTAATGATGTTTACTTTGAATTTATATTAGTTCACACAAACACTCCATCCATGCTTTTGTTCCGGCCCTCCGGTCCAGTTTAAGAACCCGTTGTGGCCCTCAAGTCAAAAAGTTTGCCTACCCCTGGTCTATGTACTTCTCTATCCCACGTGTAAGTCCCTGTCAAGATGGGATGTGGGTTACACTTTTTTTTGCCCCTAAGAATTCTAAGGACTAACAATGACCTTGTAGCAGTGCACAAGCCTATTTTGGAAGAGAGATTAAAGGCACAAAATTCAAGATAAAAGCATAATTCTCAACTGTCTTTCTCATGAAGACAGTCAGAGGCAGCACCACTTGTTACAAATGCAATGTAACATAGCAGTTCTTAACATGTTAGAGTTCTAAAATTATGTTAGTATAGATAAGCTCAGAAAAAGCACTTAACAAATCTGTACCAGGCTCTCACTTAAAGTGCTTTTAGAGTCATCCACACACAGAAGTTATTAATTATAAATCTTATTACCACTTGGCATCTCTGCAGGAATCGGAGAGCACACCACAGCCCTGCCTTTCTCCTTCAGCATTTTTCTCACTGACGCTGCATATTCACTTTCCTTGGCACGGACCAGTTATTATCTTCCTGTTTATTTACAAACTAAAAGTGAATATGCAAAAACTTGCCTAAATCTGTTGAACAAGAGTGAACTGTATATGTTCCTAGGCAGAAACATGGTGTGAAAGAGAGTGGCAGTAGCCCAAAGGGTCAGAACCCACAGCTGGTTTACTTGGTGAGAATTATAGCAGGGTGAAGTGGTTAGAGGATAAACACTTGTTGGTGGCAAGACAGTCACAAATGACCAAGGCATCTTAGACATGCATCCAGATCATTAATTCCAAAATACTCAAAATATTATTATTTTTCCAAACATGAAATCTGCCTGTTTTCTTTGTGGTTTCCTGCTATGTCTTTTCAGCTGCAAGCGTGGGGCACCGTGTCCCTGGCCGTGAGGCGGGGCAGGGCCACGGCACTGATGGGCAGGTGTGTTCTTAGGACCAGCAGAGGGCAGTAGCGCCTTATTCTGCCTAGATTCCATCAGGGCTTCAGAAAGGAATTGCAAAAATGGAACTTTGCCGTCTGGCTGGGCTGGAAAGTGGGTGGTGAGGTGAATGCTGCATGCCCTCACCGTACACTTGAGAGAACTTATAAAGAAAATGGATTTACCCAAGGTCACACAGCAAGATGGGTAGAAGAGAAGAAAATAGAAATAAGGGTTTCCATTATTCTACATCATTTTTGTAAGGTACAAAAATTAAGATATTTCACAAAACAAAGCCATAGTATAATTATATAGAGAAAAATGCAATGCAACTGTTTAGGGTTTCAGATTCGGTATATCCTGTGATAGTAGTAGTTGTTTTAGGAAACAAAGAAAATAAGCCTCTGTGGATAAAACTATCTCCCAATTTTAATCACTTCTTTGGTTTGAAGAAAAAACTTTCCCAGGATGGTTTCTCATAATGGCCAGCATTCCAGCTTCGTGACCTTTATTGCACAAGGAGACTCAGTCTACACGCAGCGTGGGGAGCGATGGTGGTAGGGAATGCTGCTGTCAAATGACATCTCTCCCTCCAATGTTGGCAAAAGTATTTACTTTACATTTCATGATTCTTATGATTCTGTCCTAAAGAAAAAAGTGATATTTTGCCATGCAATTTTATGAAGTCAACACATTCTTAAAAGAATGTTTAAGAATGTGTTGACTTCCTTCCTTATCTAGAAGAAATAGCCTCAAATGTACTAGATTAAGCAATGCCATTCATTTTCCACAGAGCATTCAAAGGAAACCCAGCATGGGACAGGATATGGAGAATAAACTCACAGGCTCACCAACAAGCAGGCCAGATTCAAATCCAAATAAGTGGACACAAATCATCTCAGAGATGAGTTGGTCAAGGGAAAGGTTAAGAGATCAGTGTGAGAGGCCTGTGTAAGGCTAGACATGTTTGCTCTCCAGGCCCAAGGCTCCAATTAGGGAGCTCAGAGGCAAATCAGGTTTCAGGGGGAAAAGCTAGCTGGCGGGATTGATTCCATAAATATATAATGGTCTTAAAGAATAATGCAGAATACAAAGATTCACTGTGTAAGTTGCTGAGTATTTCCTATCCATTCTGGCTCTGGAATACACATGTATCTCATTGTACAGTTCAGGGGTGGCGCCAGCCGGCCCTTTATGATTCTACACTGGCCCGACCAAGTCTGGATGTTAAGTCACTTTAGGAATTAATTTCTGAGTAGCTTCTGATGAGCTTTGAAAGTGCTTAGTCTTGAGAGACAAACAAAAGGAAGATAGAAATAGAAAAAAATATGTATCTATAACCTATATTTGTCAAATCTTAAACATGCTTGCTTTGATTGGAGTCCACCATGTACCTGTCTTGATCCCATTTCCCTCCTCTCCTAGAGGAAGCAATGACCCTAAATTAGGTATTTTTCATTCCCATTTATGTTTTTTTTACCAGTATATATTCATAAAGAATATATGTAGGATTATACTGCAGGTTTCATTTACCCCTTATTGAAGTTTTTCAAAGTATACAATTCATGTAATATTAAACTAAACTATGTAATTAACTGGGACAAAACACAACTGGCTCTTTGTAAACACAACTCAGAAGGGGAAGAAGAGAGTGGCCTATAAACAATGAGTATTTAGGATAGTGTGTGCATTAGCCAGTGGGATTTAGAGAACAGTGAGTAATCCAATTTGTTAAGCAGAGGAGATTGTGAAAAAGTAAAATATCCCTGTTCTACTACCTGATCCTCTAAGACTGAACAGTGCAAGCAACCTCAAATTCATAATGATCTAAACCAAACCTCTCCTGGGATGCCTAGAAGGTCCATGCACACAAGTTCTGCAGA